ATAATGTCAGGTAATAAAGATTTGAACTCATAATCTTCATGTATTAAAATGAGTGATAGTAAGACTGATAGGAAAAGAGGTAACACCTATGAAAATGAATGTAATTTAATCTGTTTTCACACTGGAACTTGGATAAATTTTGGTCACACATGCTAAATAGCTAAACATTAATTTTATGAAATAAAGACATGTAAAAAGTAATGGAAGTAAGTAATGACAAATGTTCCTTTCATCAGTAGTTATAGTAATAGCAATATGTCTTTAGAAGCTGTTTGATTCTGTGGTTCCTGAAGCTGATAAGTATTGATAGAGGGAGGTTTGCGAAGTGCTGCCGTAAGTGTAATCTGATTGACCTCAGCAGTGACTTATGAGATCAAGGTTAGGCTTTTTTTTCTTTTCCTTAGAAACAAGTTATTTTCACATTTGATTTTTTTTTTCTTATTATATGTATCCCATTTAAATGTTTATAAAATATTTGAAGATATAGAAAGCTTATGACTAAAATTATATGAAGAGCAATGGCAGGCAGTGATCAGGAAAGAGGCCTGAAATAAGTTTCTATATCAAAAAAAGGTTGCAATAAGGCTTAATTCACAATCCACGTCCCTGTAAGATAATCTAGGTCTAACACAAAAATACTTGAAATCTGTTTTGCAGTATTCTGATTCTAAGTTCTGGAACACTGATGGGTAGTTTCCTTCCTGTTAGCAAGTTAAGACTAGAACTGTATTCAGTTATATTAGGAGACAGCAAAATTCAGTGGAGCATGGCTGGCAGGAGTTAATGGAAAGGAGAGAAACAAATACAGCTTTGTACATTTTCTAAAGATGTCCTACTTCTTTGAGGGCCATGAAATAAAGGCAACGTATTGAAGACATTGTGTAAATCACTTCTGCATCAGTAATCTTTTGTGGCACAACATTTTAAAATATTTGCATAACAAAGACATTTTTAAACAATCTCCACAGAACGCTTTGGCTCCAGAACACTGTCCTGTTTTGCTGATTGAACATCCTAGCTTGAAATACGCAACAACTCGATCTGTAGCAAAACATCCTGTTGGTAAATATGAAAAATAAAGACTATTTTAACCAACTATGAAGTATTTTAAAATATGCCGGCTTCCAGATGTGTTAATTTCACTACACAGAGTGCTCTGATCACCAGTAGGTGTTTGTTTGACAATATATTTACTGAGTCAAATGTCTCTGATTATCTCTTCTCTTGAAGAGTTCTGATCTATACTTGGCTTACAAAATACAGAAGCCAGATGGAAATGCTTAAACTCAGTTAACTCACTGTTTGCTGAAAATACTCATGATATATGAGGATAAGGAAGAAGCTTCAGAAAATAAATGTTTACGTCCTCTAAATAAGCCTTGGCTGAAACTCTGTCAGTTGAGAAGGGGAAAAGACAAGATATGATAAAGGAAGGGGGAGATGATGTTCTGCATGGAAATGGTTAACTTTTTCATTTATGGAATCATAACCATAGAAAGAAAATCATTAGCTTGCTTTTCATGTTAAACAACGAGTTCTCTAAAATGCAGCATGGAAAGCTAGGATTAGGAAAAGGATAAGAGAAACAAATATATGTAGTGACCCTTTCTCTGACCCTAGTACGACACTCCAAAATGTACATATGGTTCTTTAAACTGATCCTGTCTGTGAGCCAAATTTTCTGCTTGCCTGAAAAATCTTGTAACTGTATTTTACAGTTCCTCTTAAATATAAGCCATAGACCCAATCAGACATCTGTTTATGCTGTGTAATCTAAGCATGTGATGTATTATGGCTATATTAATAATCTCCTTCATCTGCAAACAGGTGTGGAGGTGGGTCCCCAGCCACAAGGTGTTGTTAGAGCTGATATTTTGGACAAAATGAGGAAGATTGTAAAACATGGCCTTGATTTTGTGCATCTTTTTAATGAAGGTAGAGTAAGTAACAAGAAAATACAGCCTCTGTATTGTATCAGTGCACTATTGCAAATTTGAAAAATAGGGTAGGCTACAATATTTTAAACAGGGAAAAGGGGGAAAGGACTGTACTCAAGGCCATCTGTGTGGCCTCAGAAAGTCAGAATTCCTGTATAGCTTCTCTGGGTAGCTTTAAGGCTATTTCCTTTTTCTAAAGAATCAGTAAGTTTACTTGATCTTAATCTTACAGATGATTTGAGAATCTGAAATACCAGCTATTTGTACAGTATGGTCATGGAGAACATAGAGAAATTAATACTAAGAAAGAGGGGTTTAATTTACACACCTTCTGTGCAATGTTATCTAAAATTAAAGTCAATTCTGTAAGATTCTGTTCTATCTCTGTACCACCTAAAAATACTGACAAAAATAGGTGTTTAAAATTCTTTGAGAGTCCATTTTGTCAGTGGGCTTTTTTTGGAAGTAGAAGGAAATGAATCTAATTGTGTGTGTTAGAATCTCCATTATTGCGCTGGAATGGTAAAGATAGATACCACTGATACCATCCTGTGTTGTACAGCCCTACCAAACACAGGACTTTCATTGATTCATCTAGAAATATATCTTTTTAAAGATAAAGTGACAAGTCACATTTCAGTAGCAAATTTAGACCTGGCTTCATATGCTACAATACATGACTGGACCATCTTTCTGCAACTTGACTTTGAGGGGACAAAAAGTCTGGAGCTGGACATTTTTATGATAAGAGCTAATTGCTGGTGTAAACTCTGACAAGATACAACCTAATGATTTGAGCCATTCTAAAGAGAATAAATAATATTTTGTTCTTTTTAACAGGCAGTTATTCATTTTTGACATTAAATTACATTTATTCTTTCTAGGAAAGGAATTTCCACCATGTACAATCGAGGTTTTTAAAATAATGGAGAAAGTAGATTATCCCAGGAATAAGAATGATGAAGTTATTGCTATTATTCACCCTAAACTTCAGGTAAATTCTAAAATAGTTTCTGTTTGTGATGTTTTATAAATATTCCTGTGTTGCTTCTGCTACACTGTAGTATATTTTAATAGTAAATATTTAAAGTGACAATATTGACAATGGGTTTATTGAAAAAACTTTAGACCTTCCCTATAGTAAGTTCTATCACTAAGGTCATACCCTGGGAATCACTGAGACTAAAGTCACTTTTGAATCTAAAACTGAAAAGAAAAAGGCAGTAGGATAGCTTAAATTCTGAAATATAAATTAATTTTTAATTCTAAAATGAGAGTCTGTTTGATACCAACTGTGAGCATCTGCAGTTTCCTTTTAATTCACCTTTACCACTGAATTCTATACAAACCTGAAAAAGGGACAGACACCTGAAATTACGTATTGAAGATTAAGAGGAATTCTTTTAAATGCTTTTGCCATAAACTGCAGAGAATACAATTAATGAGCATAAACTCAGAAATCGCATGAAATACATGAAAATTTGAAGATAAATATATCCTATTTATTTTCTTTCTCTAAGGATCAAGACTGGCAGCCACTGAACAATGGTGATCCTCTATTTTTGACTCTTGATGGAGAAGTAATTGCATATAAAGAGAACTGTACAGTCTATCCAACATTTATCAATGAAGCTGCTTATTACGAAAAGAAACAAGCTTTTGTAAAAACAGTAAAAATTAAACTCACTGCAAAACACATCAGATCCCCAGCCTTAGACCACAGCACTTCTTAAAAGCTCATCGTGGATTTTCCCTGCAAAAAGTGGATTTCCTCTCTGAAATCCAGTGTTGATTAGTAGTCACTGGTGGAATAACAAATGCAGAATCTAATTTTTAATCATAATTTAATTAACATTGCTGAGCACTGCAAAGATGAAACATACTGTCATAATGCTAATTATGACTACTGGTCACTTGTTCTAATAGATCACTATAGATGCAAAGAATAAATATTTTTATGATGTTTATTAGTTCACACACTACCACATACTGGTTAGTGACTATAAAACTCGCATCCAGCATCATATAGAAAGATGCTGATCCACAGAACTGTGTTATATAAAAAATATTTACAACATTTCTGCATTATTACCTGAAGCCTCCAATAACCCAAGTTTTTAAAATGGGGTGATCCTTGAAATGAATTCCTTATGTAAACATACAAAATATGAGACAAAGGAAAAGCCAGGGAGAGAGAAATGGAGTAAGGGGATGTATATCAAAATTCTTTTCTATTATCTGCATGTGGGACTAACACCTGCCGTACTGAAGTTGAAGCCTTAGGGTTTGTTTTTTCTTTTTATACTTACAAAGATAAAAATAAGCTAAAAACATATGATTTCTGAAAAGCATATATTTAGATGACATTTAAAGCCTTTTAATTTTTAAGTGTTATAAGATTAATTCAAGCTGTTTCTGATTTAACATTAAAGACAAAAAGTTTTTAATTTAGGAGGCATCTACCAGCTACAGACATTCTGGAACAATATTTAAATTCAGGAAAAAGATGTGCTTATCCTATGAAACTTTCCAAGAAAATTTCTACTGCAATGGAGAAAAGATGTTTTACAGATTTGTAACTTTACAGCTGAATCCACCTACTGCTGATAACGTTTGCCAAATCAGGTTTTAACCAACTGTTGTAACCCCAAAGTTTTCAGTGAAGGTGGCAAGGTTAGGTGATTACACAGGTTTTAATGAAGAGCAATGCACACATTATACTTGAGTATTTCAGAATGGAAATTGGGAAGAATTCCATATGGGGAGACTTCTCAGAGTTTTGAGACTGATTTGGTCTAGAGTTATAGAGAGAAAGCCTGTCACAGTAGCTGAAAAAGAGAGGAAAATGGGGATTTAATTACTTTCCTAAAGTTGTTTTTAACATAACTGAGGCTAGAGAAAACATCAGGAACTTTGCATAATGATACAGTAATTGCCTATATACTGAAAGATTCATTGTCTAGATGACCCCCAAATTGTATCTTCCTTACTACTAAATTTAAAGCATTTTTTCCTTGCTTTCTGTAAGTCCTATGGCAATGAAACAGAAACACGGGACAATGGTTTTTGAATTACAAGTTTAATTTAAATAAACATTGTATAAAAAGTACATAATTATCTGCTTTAGTCATTATTCACAGGGTTTTTGATAACAGCCTGGAGATAGACTGTGTGTATGACATGGCAGGGCTCTGTGGCCAGAAAAAGGGGTTTTCCTCAGCAGAGGACTTTTAGAAATACCCCCCCCTTTCTTCCTCAGTTTTATAATAACTTTTTGTACCTGGTCATTGGCACAGCACAGTGACTTCTTTTGTGTCTTCCCTGTTTTATGGCTACACCTTTGGTGTGAATTCAGCACAGTGCAGAGATACATCAACTTGATTCCAGTGACAATTCCAACCATAGCAACGGGGAGCACAGCACAGGCTAATTTATTCTAGTTCCTGAGTATATGTGAAGAGGTATTTTTTTTTGGTACAAAAACTGGCACTCAAAAGAATTCAAATGGAGCTGCACAGTCATAAGGGAATTGATACTCTTTGTTGGCAGTTCCAATGCAACATTAACCAGCAAAAATGAAAGATTCCAAAACCGCAGGAATTTTTCTTCTCATATTCACATACCCTACTGAGAAGGCCAGACAATGCTCAGATATTATATTGGTCTATTGATGTCCTTCCTCTCAAATTCCTATGCCCTATAAAAATGTAATTGAATTGAAGATTTCAATCTGGTCTCATCCATCCAGGCCATACGTGGTAGGAAACACAGGATGTGGCATCTTTGGATGACCAGTTCTGTAGCAAGAACCACGTTCACCATCCCTGCAAAGAGCTTTGCACTATCCTTTCCACTGGAGAGTTCCCTCATGCTCTCTTCTGTGTTAAGAAAGTCTTTTGGGTCATTTTGCGCACAGGCTTAGCTGTAAGAATCCAATGCAATTCTTATTATCATCTAAATGTCAACATAATTCACCTGAGTCTTACCTAAACAGCACCTTTAAAACAGGCACCAAAAGAGTAGATATTATGAAAGCCCATGACACTGAAGACACAATGTATTAATTGAAATTTAAAAGTACATTGAACAAATTCTTTATATATACATACATAAATTAGAAAAGTAAAAACTAAACTAGGTCATGACAGGTAATGAAATAAAAACTCTTACAGAAATGCATTAGAGTCCTCTGGATAAAAAAATAACCAAACCCCAAAACTTCAGAAGTCTGCAATTGCATTTAACTTATTTTGCTCATTTTGGGAAGAAATACTGACTTCTGTATTGAGCCACTTCAGGAAAATAAGAAATTAATTTGCTTTTAAGCAAGAAGAACTTCCAGTATGATAACTTATTTTATGCAGCAAGATGCAAAACCATGGAAAAGCCAAATAGGAAAAGTAAAGAGCTTGTGACTGAACAAACTCAGAAATGTTCACCATCATGAATTCCATTTCTGCCCCACTATTTTATGGGAAGGCATATGTACATGGTCATAAAAAGCAGTGAACACCACGTTATACCCTAGGAATTATACACAGGAAAACAGACCAGGCAAAGCTAATGACACCTGAAGAGGCCTTTCTCCAGCTTGTGGAATCAAGCCTCCAATAACACTGACAGTCAATACAAAAGCTTCAAATGTCTCCAGAACATCGTTATTCCAGAATAACATACTTCATTTAGTAGAGTTCAGAATTGAAATGCCTTTGTTTGCTCCACAACAAGAACTTAGATTTTTTTCTTTTAGTGTACAAGATGTTTCTCATGAGCTAGAGATTCCAAAATACAGCAGATCGGGATCATGATGATCTTAATTTTCCACAAAAGGAAGAAATATCTCACATTTGACCTTTTTTATCCAAGTAAACATCTTGAGCCAAGTTTGAGTAGTGTCACGCAAACTTGGACAGCAGTGTTTCCAAGAGGCTCAAAAATGAACCAGTGAAATACTATATTTGAGTTTAGCTTAGCTGCCCTGATTAAATGCATTAGGGTCATCAGACCATGTCTCTAAAAGTCTGTGTTCCAGCTGGTTACAGCTGTCCAAAATATCAACAAAGCTTTCAACATTCACTACTGATGCTTTTAACCTTCCAAATGACCACATATCAAACACAGCACAACTAAACAGACGTTTCAGGCAAATCATCCATTTCTTCAAATGTATTCAGGGTGGTTTTGCTATTAGTTCTTGAATTATCTTGACTTTTGCTTGGATCTGCAAAAAAATGCATTGTAAACAAACCAGGATATGGTAGAAACTGTATCTGCAAGATCAAAGTTTTGCACATCTATTTTTTTTGTTAAAAAACATGCATTTATTTAAAAGCAAGTCATCAGTTTACTACCATATCTTCTACAGAAGGCTTTCTGTCTGCCCTTTTCATTACTACTGAGCTCATGCTACTAAGCAATATAAATGCTAATTGACTCAAGAGTCTTCAGAACTAGTCTCCCAGATCCTGATGCCTGCTGCCAGAAGGACATCTGACACCTTGAAGTTAGGTCATTTCTCTATTACACTTCCAACACTGTCAGCAGATGGGTATCTTGAATTTCCTGGTCAACACTCACTATTTGTCATTCAATATGTATGACAAAACATAAACATGAATGCTCTAGGGTTAAACCAGCAGACTATAGGATTGTTAAGTAGAAATCCTGCCAAATTTTGCAGTGCTATGTGTAACTATTTAAAGGAATAAATATACTTTACGACAACCTTTTCAAAATAATATTTCCTCTCTCTTAAAAAGTTGTCTGAGCTTATCCCATTCAAATGCCATAACAGAATGTAAAATTTAGATCAAGCACAACTGTTTGGAGAAAAAGAAAGAAAGAGTGAAACCACCATGTTTTGGCACCAACATGTAAATAAGGAGTTTGTAAATAACCCTTTCTTCAAATATTTACCAATAATTTAACACTCATACCATGTTAGCTGTGAGTTTTCCTAGCAATAAAGTGTGTTTGAATATCTAGATTCTGAGAGCTTCTATTTTAAAAGGTATAAAACTATACCAAAGCACTTCTAAGGAAAAGAAAACGAAAACCAAGAAACAAAAAAAACAACCAAAAACCAACCACACAATTTCACAAATACGGTGTTATAAAATTCTGCAATACCTGTTGGCCCTGGATCTTCATTAATAAATGAAACATGTGTTTTCCACTCGGTCCATTTCACTTCATTTATCCTGTTTATATTGTATATAAGTTGTGTTATTAGCATGCATTATCATCCAGCTACAGAGATGCACTTCCCCTCTATTTCTTTATTCCTTCTTGGGATCGTTGTTCTTGACCATCAACACTGGCTTTGCTAGTACTAAAAGGCTGAATGACTTTTGCAGTGCTATGTACTATATAAAGATGAGAATACTACTATGACTGCTTTGTAATTTCACACATTATAAGCACAGTCTGGAAACTTACCTTAAATATTTAATATTTTTCATAAACCAGCATAGTAATACATTCTTTAATATGGTAATCATCAGTTAGCAATCAATTTAAATATAGTCACTTTGAAGTGAACATCCAAAGGAGATGACAGCGACATTTACTGCAAGCAGACTTGATACTTGTACATTAAAAAGATAGGAGGTTGAAAATCTGTTTTCTTAACCAAAAATTGTCTACATAAAAAACCCCCACAACCCAGAACACTTTCCCTTTGTTAAACCATCAGTCACAAATGAAAAAAGGAACGACAAATTGGATTTTTTGTACGCTTGGGGTAATAGGTAGAGATGCAGAAGTATTTTAAAGAGGATTTTGAGAAGAAATAACCTTGAAGAAACATACAAAGCAGAACTGATAGCACAGTATTCTAGCTTTGCTTTACCTTAAACACACCCTGGTGTCATTTTCAGCCACTTTACACCGTTCTCCCAGTTGAAATTTTTTCCTCAAACGTTTTGGTAAGAATTTTTCAAATTCCAAAATAGTTCTGGCTCTCTATTAACAATAAATATTAATGAGTATGGTTAACCATATTCAGAATTGACTGACTTCATAGCATAGATAGTTTTCAGACTCCATGTTTCATTATACCATTTCATTCCACCATCCAATACCGATTCCAACACCAAATAGTATGGAATGCCACTTGCTGTTTGCAATGTGCAAACAGGCAGTCCATAGTTAGGTCTACTGCAGAAGGCATACTCAGAGAAGAATCAAGAAATCTCACCCTAAACTTGGTGTTTAGGGTTTAATGCCAACACACCCTCATGCAACACCCTGCCACAGGAATATATACAACCTGTAGTGGATGCCACCCACCACAAAGCAACTCCAGTCCTCATTATGACTGTTACTGATGACAGCCTGGGACTCAGAGATGTCTAACCTTGATAAGAGACCAGGCTGGGATAAGATATGAGGAATTGGAATGAAATCATGCATTGCTCAGACTCAAAGGCCGCAAGAGCAGAGCATGCTGAGTTACAGATCTCTGGGCAGATAATGGAACACACCTTCCTAGTGATGTATCAAGGGGAATGAAAGTCATAAAGGTATGTGAGTGCATGAGGTTGAAAATCTGAGCCATAAGATTAACTTCAGAATTAACAACTGTCTTGAAGATACTATGATACCCTGATTATTTCCATTATTTGTACACATTTGCAGATGGGATTATCAGTGTTAATACTTCACCCATTCTGAGTTACGATAGGTATAGCTCAAAAGATTTTAGCCCATAAATCCATACTTTCCTAAGCAAACTAATTCACAAACCTGAAGTTTCCAGATGTGCTCACTCTCTTTAGAAATATCTTCCACTGTTTCTCCCATTAATGCAATCAGCATGTTCAAAAGAAGAACAAAAGTCAACACAACATAAGTTATAAGGAGCAGAAGAAATAGTACAGGATACTTTGAATTTTGCTGGATCTCCAGATCACCCAGTCCTAGGGTGAGCTTAAAAAGATCCATCAGAACAGGTCCCAGACTGCTGTTGGAATGGCATTCATTGCCATCTTGGCAAGTTTCAATCAATGCAGCAAGAGCTGAGAAGAAAGCAGGAAAAGATTTTAATCACAATAATGTTTTATGTATACATGGCATTTTAGCCTAAAGAATTCAAAATGCACTGCATAATAAAAAGCTGGAGCTGCCCAGCAACATACACAGCAGCAGCTAGAAGATGGATTACCAGGAAGCAGAAAGAGCCCACATCCAAATGAAATTGCAGGCAAATGAGAAAGAGCCAAATTACTTATCTGTTCATATAGTTTCTAGATAGTTTAAATCTCTAAAGTTGGCTTTTTAATATCCAGAAGAAACCCCAACATGAGCTCTCATCATGACAATAGGGTTCTTATTCATAATAATGCTAAAATTTTTACTCACACAGAGCATCAGTGCTTTTCTCCAGTAATATTTACCTACTCCAAATCCCAGCAAAAAAACGATATAGACAACTAAAAATTTGATCACATCATGCAGGATGACCTAAAAAATAAATTAAATATTGATTAGAAATGAAAACTGAGTACTAGTTTTACGCTTATTAATTCTGCAGGGATACAGGTGTCCTACACAATAAGGCATCAGATTGCTTTCAACTAAGCAAAGCAGTTGTAGCCACAGTGAGAAACCCAGAAAAGATTTAGGTCTGATTCTTTTCATCTCATGACTGAGCCAGGTGTGTTGTCCATGGGTGACTAACTCTGTACAATTGGCATTACAGCATATGATGCTATTAAATAGAACTACATTAGCTGAAAAAAACCCACGTTACATATGTATTTAATTAATTAATTAATTTTAAGATATAAACTAGTTTCTGCCATTGAAGTTATAGAGGATATTCTGCTGAAATAATGTGTATAAACTGAAAATAAGACTTTTCAATCTGAACTAAAAAAATACATCTAAATTGCCAAATAGGCTGCATTGGGATTGCATCATACCAAGTAAGGATCATAACAAGATAGGTAGAAGAAAACAAACTTGCCTTTTGAATCATAACACTGTAAATACCCATGGACTGGAAACCTCTGGTGAAATAAAGCATATTAGCCCATCCCAAGGCCATTGCCAAAACAAGACACACGAGGTGTTCTTTGTAGGAAAACAAGTACAAAAAGACAGAGAAGATCACAAGCAAAGCTTGTATAAAACTGTTAAAAAACAAACACATGTATTTAAAAGGGAAATTACTAGCACAAAACCAACAACATAATGGAAAAATATGAAAACAAGACTTTTCTCCTTATGCTTAATTTCTAATTTCATCCTGCATTCTATTCTCCCCTATCAACATTACCATTATATTTTAACAACACAGTAAGGTGAGTACAGGTAGTATATTAACAGGATTACATTATTAAAGATTACTTTTAAGTGAACTATTCTCCCAAAAATAGCTGGTCAGTGCAGATTTTGCTGACAAGGACATTAAGAATTCTTAATAGTATTTTTGAAGCCATTTAATTCAAGCTTTAGATTAACAAATTGTTAGAATCGTTACAGATTTTCTGTGAACAAGGAAGACGCTTGTAGGTGTGATGTGCTGTGACAGGATGTAGCCCAGACTTTCAGCAGCACAAGATTGGTATTAGTGTAGTTGGAGGAAGAGGAAGAAAGGTAGAGTTAAGCCACGTCTTTTTATTGATCTTACAATCACATACTAGAAATGAGACGGAATCATCTGTGCTTTATCTAGGCCCAGCTGATGGGATACTCCCATCAGTCAGATGAACCAGATTTATGCTATTTTCCCTTCCTGAAGGAGTCAAAAGGAGTGTGAAATGATATCTGGTTTATTAACCAGGTTTCTTAAACACATTTCTGTATATACAGCTGTAAACAGATACAGGAGAAGCTAAAAGTACTATTCTTTGGGAAAAAATCCAGTCCGTACACATCAGCCCCCAGTACTGTTACTGAGACATGCAACTGTTAGTGTGTACTTCAGAAAAGCTGCTGGTAAGATTGCATATATCTCTCTAAAAACTTATAATCTAGAGAAAAAGTGAGCATCTGCTACTTTCTCTGCAACCAAGAGATAGATAAGCATTTTATAGATAGTATAAAATACGTGCATGACAGACTTACAACGCAAAGTGGAACCACGCATCAGAGAGAATTGACTGTAGGTCTGAAGGCCTAAGCAGAAAGATGGCTACACTCTATATAGACAGATATATAAAATACAGAAGCAGCAGTAAGAGAAAGCAGGCCTCAAAATTGAGTTTTCAAAATAATTTAAGTTAGTGTTCTAAAAAAATTAGTCTACTGATAAAGACATTAAATCTTCCCAAATTAAAAATCTTTTATGGGTCTGGATCTTCAAAGTTTACATTTCTGTCATCTCTGGCATAATTTAGCTGGTAGTTACTATGTATACTACATATACTACATATACTACAGTATATGTCAAAAATTGTATTCTGTTTTTTTTTTTCCCCATTACAAGTTCTAATTCACCAGTGTCCTTAAAGCCAGTAATTTGACAACATCAATGCTATACAAATATCAGATCTCTGTTTTGAGAGTTTGAAAGGAAACCCCCCTCATATTTGTTTCACAGAGCAACAGAGCTATTCAAATATATAACCAAGGTCGTTCTGTGCAAGCAATGTGCTGTGTCAGAGACTTAAATTACATACAAGGATATTCCAAGCGTATCGCCAGTATCATCAGCAGCATAGAATATTCATAAACCTAGGGAAGTCCTTTACCTATTTTGCTATGAGTCTTACCTCTTTTACGGCTAAAAATATTGCTCCTAACATAACCATCACCTGTCCCGATAACTGCAGCCACCCCACACCACGTGTTAAAGCTAGTGGATAAGGTGGAGCCTGCAAGAGAAATCCAAAATGAATGACTGAGTTCTGAACCTGAAACATAAAAGGCAAAGTAACAGGAAGCCTCATATATGTAGCTCTCTGGATACACAATTATCTTCCCTTTCAGTGAGAATTTTCTCCATAGTGGATTTACAGAATCAGCCCCCTAACATGTGTTAGCTGAAATAGCAGAAGTTTCTTTCTTAAAAGAAAAAGAAAATACCCTTTCCACCCTTTTAGAAACTTAGCTACCTGTCTTTGTATTATGTATTTGTATTTCAGGTCACTTTCACAACATGAAAATGCGATTATCTCCTCTGTTCTGATCTTCTTCCTCCCTGGTATGACAGAACCTGATCTCACTACAGCCAGATATTTGGATATCTGCTTTTAGTTTATTTAGCATTTTAAATATAATTCAGGAAATACCACTGTATTTTAAAATCAGTAAAATTTGGTGAGATTAAGTAGCTGTCGATACAAGCTACTCACTTCATTTTCATTAGGCCTGTGGTAGGAAACCAACGTTAAAGTTACGTTGTATAGGAAATAAAACCAGCATGACATAAAGAACATGTGCCGTGCAAACTTCTTCCATTTCATTCGCAGGAGTGAATTCAGAGGCTCCAAAGTCAGCATTTCATGACGGTTCTGTAGGGGAAAAAAAACAACCAACCAGTTAAGATTTAAACTTGATGTCTGTAAGGAAACTGAGATCATTTCAGTCATGTATTTTGTGTATTTCAATCCGTATCTGTCCTTGCAGATCTAGAAACACATCTATGTGCAAAGGTATATGTCAGACTCTATCCTGACAAGACACAGTGGGACAACTTCAACTCATGCTGGGATAACCTGCCCCACTCTGGAAAATGATTGACTTAAAACTGTAATGTGAACTTCTGGTCTTGCTTCTTATGGAAGCTTTGGGCAGTATTTGAACTTAGCAATTGTAAAATTCTGGCTTTGAAAACCTAACATTCCTATATGCCTAAAATACATACCTGCTGGGTAAAGTTTATAACTGACCAGCTGGACCATATTTATGTTCCTATGCAAGGCAAATTATTACTTCAGATGTAGAAACTCCCCAAACACCTAGCCCATGTGTTTCAGGATCTGAAAGCATATCTGCTTACAGCTGACAATCTACATCTTTCTCCCAATATAAAAACAGAGAAACAATAATTACTGTTTAAGTAATTCAGTCAAATGTACAGGCTAAGACATCTGAAATGAGTACACTGTTAGAAAATAGAAAGACAGTTTAGAAATAGGTAACTTACACCAATATTTGTATTATAGACTATAATTTCCAATACTGAATTGTCTGCAGTGGTATCTAGTTCTGTCAGATCATAAAGAGAAGATTGAACAGGACCATAAGCCCAGTCTGTGAATTTTCTTGACAGGCTCCTGTTAGGCTTATCTCTTATCTCTCTGCTCAGGATGTATTTCAGAATCTGAAACATTAACAGAATCATTTGTAAGCAGATGTGTTCTTCACAGGAAAGGAGAAAGCACACACACATACTTGCCAAAACTCCCACCTTTCAACAAGCACATTTTCTAGAGCAGAGCAATTCAATGTATTTCTAATTCTGTTATTCAGCAAGTGGTGTTACAGATAACAGACCTCTAGGAAATTAATACAGTATTTTTAATGCCTCCAGATTTTCTGTCAGAAAATCGTTTTCACATCTTCCTATAGGGTGAAAGCACAGTTTTCCATGTGTTCACATTTATATCTTCCTTTAACTTAATTACTTTCTAAATCATCCCATTGTCAATTCATTACCACAATACAGTTGATCTACAAGAGCCTAATTCTACAGCAGCCTAACAGCAGTTCTAGTGAGTTTTCTGAAATTACTCAAAATTATTCAAAGACTATATAAGTGTAGTGCTGTAAAATAAGTCCAGAATTTGAGTTTCTGGACAACAGGAGGATTTTAAAGACTCTTTATACAGCACATGCATTTTGTACAGAGAGGGGTTGTTAGAGGGAAACCTCGAATGGTAGAAGCAACATTGCAGTAGAAGGATTTGCTTGTATTTTGAACAAAATTAGCTCTCCAAATATTACAGATACATCATACAGAATAACCAGCATGGAAAACTACATGTAAGAGCACTAGTGTCTGAGTATAGTAGGCCTTGACTCTTTTCTCATACTTTATTTCTCTTAGATGCAACTGAAATACTACCCACCTCTAATTTCCCAGTTTTTGCAGCTAGTTGTAGTGGTGTCAAACCCTCCTTATTCCTTGTAGTTTCCAGATTTCTGGCTTTACTTTTCAACAAAATCATATCATACATTCTGATTACAAAGTCATTCTGGGTTTTAAAGTCCTCTGCCACAGTAACTAATGCATGGAGGATATTGTTTCCTCTGGAATCCTGAGAAGTAATATTAGTCCTCGTATTGTCCATTAGCAGTTGAATTATGTCTGGTTGATTGGTACATGCAGCTAATGCCAATGCAGTTTCACCTACAAAATTATAAAATGCAAGATGTGTTCATATTTTATTTCAGGCATTCAAATCATATTATAAAAGAGTGACAGTGTTAAGCATCTTAATATATGCAAGTACATTTACATATTGATTGTATTGAATTTAGCTCATGTTTTAGAAAAGCTTAAATTGCATGGAACATTATTTGGATATAATCTTCAGAATCAAAGGTGTTACATTTTATTTGCCATTCAGCAGTTGCAATTTTTTGGTAAGTGCTTTACAAATATTTCTACGTGTTTATAATACACCACACTCTGGCAAGTTTACAAAAGGTGCTATGTCATCTTTATACCTTGGGATGCAAGTTCTAGATTTAGCTACAGTAATGATTCACACTTGCCTGTGTTCCACACTGTCTTAATTGTTTGGGTATTCTTTCCTAACTTTTCCAGAGGTATCTCTTTTCCACTTACCAAAATAAAAGCCTTCATGTTTATGTTTGGGATTAAAGAAAATACCCTGGGCGTGAGCATTGACATCAGCTCCTTTTTCTATTAGGCTCTGAGTTATTTCATATTGTCTTCTTTCAATAGCAATATTTAGGGCTGTCTGGCCTGAAACAACAAACACGGGTATTTAGCATTGAACCTCTTAAGCACATTATCAAACATTAATGATGTTTCACAATGGGTATCACCAGTGATAATGAATAAAAGTTGTTTTAGGAGTTTAAACCATCATTAGAATGCTTGAAGAAAACATTACTTTATGGATGGTATATTTAACCATAGACCTGAAACTGGTACCAGATGGCAATACCTTTATATGCCTCTTCTGTGTATGCTGCATTGATAAATCTCTCCAAAATACCATTTTCTTCTGCAAAGGATAGTAGCATATTCACTATCTCATTTGTGTTTTGGTTGATGTTCAGCAGAGCTTTCATCAGACAAGTTTTGCCAGTATCTGAAGCTGTGAATTTTTTCATCAGATAATCTACAAGAGTGAATTTTGAGATTATTTAAAGTGGATGGAAAATAATTCTAATCTTACGTTTATTAGGGGTGAGACCTGAGAGATGTATGAACATAAATTATTTGACAAACAATTACTCCATCCTACTCATTTTGTATTCAAACTATGTATACTTGGTGAGATGATGCAGTATAAGATGTGATACTAATTAATAAGGTAACCAATGCACTTGGATTTTCTTTTAGACATCCCACTGCTATGCTAACTCCAGACAAATCCAGAACTCTTTAAGTTCTTTGCCCATTCAGCCATGCTGACACATTGCAAGCCCTGTCTATACTGCAGTTTGGATAGAGACACCAGCTTTGAGTCTCATGCTGCAAAAGACTAGCTGTGGTATGGCTGTGGGCATACAGTGCAGATAGATCATCCATCTATCATAAGGAGGAGATAAATACTTCCCAGTGTTGCCTCAGAGGCAGCAAATGGGTGTCTGATTGAATATCTTAAGCTTTCATTTTGAAATAGGAAATGTGACGTATGTATGTTTCAGACTCCACACATTCCAGAAAAGCTAACAACCCTCTCGAGATAACTCCACAGCTCACCTGGCACAGTCATGTTCATACAGGCGTTTGATCGCTCCTTCAGCTCGGTGAGCAGACACTGCAATTCTTCGATATTGCCCTCAGATACAGCCCGAAATATGTACTTTTTCAACTTCTTCCGGGCACTGGTCTGCTCAGGTCCTTGTGATATGTTAGCACTGAATCATAAGAAATAATAATCGAATTGATAATTCAATTTACTGTGCTATATTCTCATTTCTACATAAGAAGTAAAAAGAAATACAATTACTTGCCCCAGACTACATATACTTGCCCTGCTTCCATATATAGATCTTGGCATGGATCTCTCAGGATGTTTCTGCAGATTGCTTATTTGCAGATAAGTGGCTATTAAGAGGAGGTTTATAATAAAGATATACATTTATCAAGTACTTTGTTTTGCATCTTTTCCCAGTTTATCCATGCTTCTAACACAAAGGCTAAGAAATACTCTGCTTCTCTGATCCATCCACTCCACTGACCCACTGGCTGATGCTGCACTCCAGCTACACCCATCCCACTCACAGCAGAAGATAGTTTTTAACTTCACATCTTCTTAAACAACTTTTTAAACAACATTATTCTGGAATAAGAATGATTTAGTATTTTTCCCCAGTCAGAAATACTCCCAGCTCATGCTTAACTCTATTTGGTGCTTAGGTCCTTTGTTGTCATCTAGAAAACAGACGTTATGTATGAAGAATCCTCATACTATATATGAGATTTGAGAAAAGCTGAAGTTAGAGTTCTTCATTTCAAAATTTAATTATTGAAGAATCAGAAATGTATGCACACATATGACCTTACTTATAAAGCATGACAGGAAAAATAGGTAATATCTGCTTTATCATAGGCTTAATCCTCTGAAAATGTACTAAGAAATACTTCATGTCTCTACTCACCAACAGCTGTCTACATTAGGGCTATATTCAGTCGCATCATCCTGAAGAGACTGTGGAGAATCCATATCTTCCCCATTTCCAGATGCACTATAGAAAACAGAAAAACAAGTGCCAAGATAGGAAGGTACTGGAAGACCTGTTTTTTTGGCAAATTGCATGAAGAATCAGTCAATACTAGAAAGCAGAATCTACAGTAAACCTGAAATCAGTCTAATTTGTGCTTCATAATTTCATCTCCCCTGTGAATATTAAAGTGAGTGGTAAGAATGAAGAGGCCCACAGGATTTTATTATATTACATGAAAGCAGCCTGGTTTGTGAGGGTTTTTGTTTTTTTTTTTGGCGTTCTTTTTTTTTAAATGATCGTTGCTTTTTATGCATCATCCTAAATGCTGGAAGCTTTCTTTCCTTTTCACATGCTTAATTTGTCACCTGCCACAAACCAAGTGCTAAATCAGTAACAGTGCATGGATTGCAAGCACACAATGAAAGTGATTTACCTAAAGATTTACTACGCAGTACACCGTAGGCAACTCAAGAGCATTTTGCAGCTGACATGAATGGAAGCTTCAGCTAAAAGAAATCAAGGACTGGGCCCTAAATACATATTCAGTTAATAAATTTAACAGATTTCAGTGGTATTTGTATTTTTGTAATTGCTGTACATAATTTCCAGACATCCCTAAAAGCAGATCTGACTTAAAAATTAATTTATTTTCTTTATTTGTATTTTTGTATATTCTAGAAGGTTTAGATTTGATGAACTACGTCAGGTTAATAACACAGGGAGCCTGAACTACTAGCTATTGATAAGAGAGATGTAAGTATATTAACACAAGGACTCCGCATTTCTCTGCAGATACTCCCTTCCCTTTGAAATAAAGCTGGTAGCTCAGTCCATTCTTATTCAGTTTATCACTTCTCTGCAGAGAACCATGAAGAATCTGGTGACAAAGTGTATGTGTGCCTTGTGCAGGTCTGTGTGTCTGAATGAGAGGAAGAAATCTGGGTACCTCTCCTCTGAAATCAAAATAAGACTGTCAGCTAATCCCAAAAAGCTGACCAGACATCCATCAGACACACAAACATTTGGCCATTCTGGGCTTACGCTATATTTGATGCATATTCCCCTTATTCATAGCTATTGGTTGTTAGTACCCCACACATTTTAAAAAATTAAGTGCATTCTTCCCAGACATAATTTTTCTCCATTCACCATGAATGGCTGCCTTTAAATGTCTCAAACTCAGCATTTTCATGTTGTTTGATTGTCAATGAGCAATAGGGAGAGGATGTCAGCACGCAGCAGGGAATAGGGTTTGCTAAAATAAGGTGTGGTCTTCATGCAGTAGAAAATACATGAATGGGTGCATGGAGTTCAACCTTACATACCATAAATAAGGTTAAGATATAAAAAAGAAAAAAGACCAACAATTTTAAATTTATTCAAATTTGAGGACTGATTTATTCAGTGTAAACGACAGCAGCAGATAAAGATAAATCACTTAGTAACAAAGGACCTCCAATGGAGTTCTATCTTTGAAGTGACCAAAAGCTGAAAAAAGCCATGTGAAATTTTAGCTCTGAAGTCTAAGGAGAAATAAAGAATAGCTGCTGAAAAGAAAGTAGATATAACTGCAGTATGACTACTGCATATGCATCTATAACTTACCATGGACGAATATTTGAATCCATTGGTTTTGAAAACACAGGGGGAGATGTATTATTTGGTGTCGCATTGCTTTCAAAACCATCAATCTCCAGAAAAAAGTGTGAACTGTAGAACAGAGTGCATTTAAGAAAATATTAGTAAAGAAAGCAAGCTCAGTTTGTTATTTTCTGGCATTATACCTAACAAGACACTGGAATAGAAGCTTACCTATTTTCCATCAGAGGAATCCCAACCTCCCACGCTATGCCCAGCACTTTCATGCTGGCAGATAGGCAAAAGATTCCAAGATATTTTTAGAACACATGGCAACCTGGTCCTTACATGCCTAAGCAGTTACCCCAGCAGCCTTAGAACAGCCTTGCATCCAACTTCTGTGAAAACCAGGTATTTCTTGAACAGCCATACAGACACACACAGAGATGGTTTTTAATCTACTGCATTCTAGTTCCTGTTTCTCCAGCTGGGAGCCATCAGGATGGAGCATTTCAAACCCATCAGCAGTGATAATCATTAAGTCAGAAAGTTTGAAAGGTCACATGTTAAATGACATCAGGCATTTCCACCATCCAGGACTGAATGTGTAATCCTGCCACTCAGTGCATGACATTTAACTATTTATAGGAAAAATAAAGTAAATTTTAAACAACAGAGAAAAGGGAACACATGAAGAATAGGAAGATTTCACCCTTTAAAAGCCTAAAGAGTTGAGAGGCAAAATCAATGGCTTGGTATTACCAGATCTCATTAAAACATGGCTAAATTCACCAAAAACAGGAGTTCCAGTGGTGAATGCAGCAACTCCCACATGGCCTATGTTTCCAGTTCCCCTACTATTTATGGTTCAGTCCATAGGGGATTTCTTTTTGTTTTTACCTGCGTCTTTCCCAAAGAATCCCATTGAATTCAAGTACATATACTGATGCTAAAATGTAATATATTATTAGGACACTACTGCACAACCTGTTGAGGTCATACTATTTCAAGTAGATACAGTGGCCCTAGTTCATCACATTTTTCAACTATTTGGTGATCCAAGTGTTAATTCACTGTGTGTAGTTGTTTAAACTTAACGACTTTTTAACATTTGAGATGTGCCTGTGAATGTATTCTTAGCAGAAAGCAAGTAAAATGCCACTTTTGGTTAGCAAGACTGTGTCCCTGATATTACCTAGGCAAGGGGTGCTCTTCAGAGCACAGGAAAAACCTAGCCAGAAGCAGGACCATTGCCGTTCTTTGTGCCAAACCACTCTTGTTTCACTGGGCTTTGGATTTGGCAGAGACACTTAAGGAGGAGTGAAAAAAAAATGGTGTCATCCTGCTTTTTTTGCATTCCCTCACCATGAAGTGCAAGAGCTGTCCTAATAGCCAAACATCTGTTGGAGGCTGCAGTGAACCTCCATAAAGCCAGAATTGCCAAGCTCTAGGTTTTGCTGGAGCATTTCACCAGCCCTTGGCTCAGCACCAGGAGAGGATGGTGTGCCACAAGCTGATGCCTGAGAGCAGCTCCTGCTCTCCCAATAGTGTGTTTTGCTGAAGATTTTGGCATCCAAAAGATGTACAGCAGCTGTGATGTGGGCCCAGTTTTGGAGGCTGTCATTCCTACCCTATCGTGGCACATGGGTTATCTGGGGATACCATGGGGGAAAAAAAAACAACAAAGCCACCGTGCAAGGCAGGTAGACAATTGCTAACAAATACCAAAGTGCTTACGTGGCCGTGGTGCACACTCTTAGGAACACTGCCCACAGTCAGGCTCTGACAACATGGGTAACACTCCTCCCAGGCTGCCTGTTGGTTTTCCTGTACTTAATTTTATATGGTTAGTCCACCCAAATACCTTCAAGAAGGGGAAGTTATTGTCTTCTGAGAAAGTGCACATTGGCAATACATTTTTTCAGGCGATAAATGCTGCCCATGGAAGTGCAGTAGCTGCTTAGTGGCACGGTAGAAGGAAGCGTTTTGAGGCAACAGAAGTACAGCAGCAGAGAAACATATAATTAGTAGAACACGTTAAACCTCTGCATTAAAATTCACGTGATCGTCATTCCTTATATTATAGGAATGTTGTGGGCCACACCCTGAGCTCTTTGCTGAGAGATGGGAAAGGCCCCCAAGGTTACTGTTGCTGATGCCACAAAACTGAATCGAGATACAAGCTTCCGTAATTGAGGGGTAGAGTTTGCCAGTATTTGTTAGAAGTCCACAATCTGCCATGGAATGCCCCTGTATTGTGAGCTGCTCAGACACCTCACCTCCCTTTAATACAACCAAAGAGCTTCTCTATTTGAATTTAATGACAGAAAGACAAATTAGGCCACCCAGACAGGGGGTCTCATATAATTAATGACACCATTTCTTTGGAAAGTGATTCCTCTGGTTATTAAGAATTATAAATGTCAGAACAGCCACAATTGCCTAGGCCTTCTGTGTTTCAAAAAGTGCCCCAATAGCTAGTAATTAGCCACAGAGTGAAAAGCTTATGAATGAAAATTCATCCTCACTCTACAGTAACCTAGTTAACTCCAATTCCACAGTATCAGGGATGAATTATTGCTTATATTTCCCCATTCATATTAAATACAAACTCTTAATCCTTTTATTAATTCTCTAGCATAAATTATGAATAAAAGTGAACATTTTATAAAATAAAATGAAGAAATCTTGTTAATCAGAATAATGAAAAATTGAGTGAATTCAGGTTTTTCTCTGTGACAGGATTTTTCAAGCCTCCTGCTCTCCCAGCTCTCATTTTTTAATTCAGCTGTACCGCTCCATAATCTGCCACATTTCCATGTGAGGCTAGGTTTGAAAGGCTCCCTTTTTTCAGGCCAGCATCTTTTATATAAAACCTGCCATTTGATCACTCTACTCTCTCCTATTGAAACACTTACCATAATTAGACCAGATTCTTGTAAGCTTATACAGATATATAGAGTGGATGCCAAAAGCTCAGCTGACATGAGACATTAACTTGAAAGACAGGTGCATGAGCTTGATATCTCTAGGAGAGGGGTTAAATATTTGTCCCATTAGGGTAAAAAACATCCTATGTCTGCATCACCAGGATACTTTTCCACTTCTGAACAGCACAAGCATACACATTTTTCTAGGCACTTTGGGTTCATCAGGTGTCTCATTCATACATACAGCATGAATAAAGATGTTAGTGGTATTTCAGTGCAATATCTACTAAAGGAGATAAACCAGGGAGTTTTAATGGTTTAGACTGAGTTAGTCTTACCTTTTCTTTGTGGGAGTGCTTTCAGTTGGCTTTTTCTCTTGCTGGTTTGAAGGGGGAATACCAGATGGATTTGTTTTCTTGCCCATTAGTGGAATAATTTCGTTGTTATCTTTAATCATGTTTCTGCAGTAGAGAGATTCACAGTTACTCAAGTCCTGTTCATTTAAAGAAAGCACCAAAAGAAAAACCAAATTGCCTATTTACAGTCTCTTCACATGTAAGCACACAAATCTTGACTTCCACACCCCTCCCAACCCCCCTAAGTTTTTCATTTTTCAGTTATTAAGCACATACACACCATTTTGTATCAAGGCTGGAGGGTTATATTCATCACTTCAGTAAACTACAAGAGAAGTGCCATTAAAAGCGATACCATAAATCCAGGAAAACCATAAACTCAGCCACATGCCTAAATTAAACTGAAGGGAGTCTGTCAATCACAATGACACTATATGTTATTTTGAGAAACAAAAAGAGCACAATGACTTTCATAAGCAGCCCTAAAGCTGGTGTATATTTACAGTTAATCTAAGTAGTCTGCTCTTATCCAAGAAAACTTCAGAGAAGTGGTAAATTCTAGGAAGGTCAGTGCAACAGGTACAATGCATGGAGGAAGGTTCCAGATGTGAAGGGTAGTGAACATAGAAAAAGCCCTAAAGCTGTTCACCACGATAGAACAGTGGAAGCAACATACAGTTTCTGAATACGATGCCTAGGCTGAGCTACACAATCACATGAATAACATCAAGGACTTGTGTCCTGCTGACATATCTCTGCATTTCTTTAGGGAAAAAGGAAAAAAAAAATCATGACTACTGGATGGGAACACTCACCACCACATGACACAAAAGGATCTTAATGCATGTTATCTGCTTATAAACACCTACAACATGAATTCTTTAAGTAATAGTGAATAACTATCTATCTTCCTGTTTCTCAATATAATACTCAAGGGCATCATTTTAAATCACCAAGGATCATTTGAAAGTGAGATGGTGAATTCAGGATACTTTGAGATTGAATATAAGAATAGTAAGTTTTACAAGGTCACAGACCCATGCCCAAGGAAATCAGGACAGTGCTCTCCATACCCAAGGATAAATGATAAAAATCACTTGCCTGCAAGTGTGAACAAAATGAACTACATATTTTCCTTCTCCTACTTTCACTTTCCCTAATGTGACAAATGTACACACAAACTTTTCACTCCTGCGAGTCTCAATGTGCCTTGGCACTAGAATTTCTTCATTATGGGAATATCAAGATAGAGAAAGCAGATTGTGAAGCATTTTTGAAAGACATGGTATCTGGTGTGAGAGACACGCATATCAAATACACCAATACTTGAGTGAAAATCTATTAATGCATCCACAGCAAATGTTTAAGTATGGAGAGTTTTTGATCCCAGGTACAGAAAACAGAATTCACAGGGCCCAAACACATGTAGGTGCAGGTCTAATTTCTTGTCCCTAAATGGAATCAAAATCTGAAATACTGGGAAGTACTCCTTACCTTGAAAAGGTTGGCTTAAACAGGCATGAAAAGGAAATTTTATTGTATTTTCTACCATTGGTAGGTACGTTCACATTAGTGTAACTCAGAAATTTGCCTTTCCTATGAATCCATATCACAACTTTAACAGGAATAATTTATAAAAGGCAAATATGATTTACTTGGTACGCTTGCATCCAAAACATACCGTAGCTTTCCCTGCAGTAAATACACAAAAGAACTAACCTTGGATGTTATATATTTGAGGTAGGAAATAGTGGTTTATCTATGCCTTTGAAAATGCAATTCATGTAGTCTTCAGATGCATGCTGTATCAGTGAATACACTGATAAACATTTAATCTTAACACAGCTTAAACAAATGACTGTTGTCTTGCTTAGTTTATAAATAATTCTGATGTCCACTTCTTACCAAGTACTTTAAGAATACACAGCAGTTTATGAGCAAAGGCATTTCCCATCCAGAGGAAGAGACAAATGTCTCTTGACATCTACTTGATACAAATCAAATATAAGTGGACTAGAATAAGATGGAGCTGGGCATTAAGTAGCTTCATAAGTTACTTTAAAGGAAGAGAATAGTCAAAAACAGATTAATAGGTCAAAAAATGTGTTAGCAAAAGCAGTTGCCAAGTTGAGAAGAGCACAGCAGGTAGGTGTGCGAAGTTGGATGGGTCAAAGAGTGGTAGGAAGAGCTGGCAAAATTAAGACCAAAGTTAAAATCTCTGAAGCGCACAATGGGAAAAGCCTCTTGTTTGTGAGAGATGTTGAGGCTGCTCAAATATAGCAGCACACTTCTGTGTGGGCCACCTGCAGCCAGTTGTCACCACAGAGATTTTAGCAGTGGCTTCAGAGCAGGCTACATCATTTAGGAGAGGTGAAAATAGTCAAAGAGTATTGAAGTTGTATTGGATGATGAAGGACTACTAAATTACCATTGATAGAAGGAAACAATTTGGGAAGGAAAAAGAGAGAAGATTCAATTCTGCAGCTTTCAAATGCACATGGAGTTGACTGTGTGATCTCAGCTACAAAGACTATTTTAAACGAGATCTTGGAGGCTGCACAAGTAAATAACTGCAGGCACAACAGTTGAAGTTCCTTGCTACAGTGCTGAGGTAGCGTCTGTTTCTCGCTTTTAATCATGATTAATTGTATGCTTAGATGAAAACTTAGCAAGGGCTTTCATCACGATCTTCCAGTGCACTATCATTTTCTGTAATCTATGACATATAGAGCAAAATACTGCAACAGTCTGAAGAATGTAAAATCATAAGTAGTGTAGCTTGTGTAACCTGATATGGAGTGTCTTCTATTGTTGTAACTATTTTCTGCTCCCATTATTAGTTAATTGTTACTTACAGGTCACCAAAGAGGTGGCTTATTTGAAGTGGGCAGTGATACAAAAGCACTACCTCAATTTACAGTATTAAGAATTACTTTGAAGGGGATTCTGAAGACATTGAGGACTTAGTATCTCAACTCCAGTGTGCTGGGAAGAGAGCATTTAACTGCAGTGGTGAATTGACTCAGCGACTCCTACACGAGTGGCATTTTACACACTATCACAGACTCAACTTGTGCTTATCTGAGAACAAAAAAAATCACACATATCTATAGCTTTATAGCTCAATAATAGTGTAAGCAAAGAGGCTAATGACGGAATCCTACAAGTCAGAAGAAAGACTCAGCTGTGATATCCTGGGACAAAGGTCTTTTCTGAAGGGGCAGAGGAATGGAAGCGACTACCAAGAGCTGTTTCATTCACGGGGTCCTTCAAACATCCATAGCACAGACCACGATGCTTTCCAGCACCTATGACCTAATTCTTACAAGCTCATAAAAAAAGAAATCCCCTCCCCCTAGGGAAAAGTTGATAAAACTTTAATTTTACCTTTGCACACTATTTATGGTATATGAATCCTATCAGCAGAAATTTACACTTGATAGAAAGAGTTGAATGCCTTAAGTCTGTAAGATTTTTAAACATTTGGGGGGCAATACTAGACATCAGGTGCTATCAAAAAGTCATTTTCTTCTTGGTGAGAAATTTGTTCTTTCCTACGAAGGTTTCTCCTAACAGAAATTTTAGAAGACTCTGAAAAGCAACGTTTTTCCCTGAGGAAAATCCCTTAAAGATGATTTATCTGCTTATCTCAGGATTAAATCAAAAGAAGCATTTTTACTGAGTTGAAGTAAAAACTATTGTACTAAACTAGGCATTTTACTTTCAAAAGCCACCACAGTAACAAACTTTCAGTGGAAGAGGAATGTATCATTTCAGTTTAGCTTGTATGATAGTATATTTTGAATCCTCTTGGCACAGAAATTACGAAGTGTAACAGGGCAACAAATATGAACGAAAAAGAGGTCTGCCTTTCTTTACTTCTGAATGCCCAAGGAGTCAGCATGGCATGACTTGGGAAAAAGATTTATAAACTAGACAAACAGAAAAGCATCCTCCATTTAAAAGATGGGTTTAGTCTTTGTCTCTTGAAGATTTCACTCTCTACAAAAGAATCACACCTACACCGGACACCCACAGAAGCTCCCAGAGAACTTACCCTGCTTATGAAACTGGCATTTCATTGTAGACAAAGCGCCTCAGAGTTGTAGAGATGAAGTTCAAAGCAGGGGCCTGCCGACACAGCAACAACATCCAAACCAGCTCATTTGCCAAATGGGTAGAACTATATTCCAGCTCAAAACTATCCTAAAAACGCAAAACCACCCTTCTTCAGTCATCCGGGTGGCTCAGGTGTTGGAAAGCACAGGTAAGTTCAGTGCCGGCAGACTGCCGCCTTACAGGGTTTGCTACGTCTGAAATTAGGGAGCAGAGAGAAACTTGCTAGACAACAAACTCTACTTCATAGCTGCCAAAGTGGGATGACACACACACACACACACACGCAATAATTATACACTGAAATGTTACTAAAGCTGAGTCGCTCATGGATGACTTAATAGCAGCAGTAGAGTATCTGAAACGATCACTGCTCTGCAGTTTACATACTGTTTTCAAAAGAAAATGGTTATGCACATGCATTTGGGTTGTAAATTACATCCCTTTATGTCATGCTTAGTTTATTATATACTATGGAACTATTCAGAAAGCAAAGGAAAAATGAGAAAATGATCATGCTAAGTGCTCCAGAAAGCAAAACTGTTTGCTATTACTCTGAAAAAGTAGAAGTGGCCTTAGAAAACCTTACACTTGCACAGTGATAATGTCAGTGGAAATGTGGTGGGTGTGTTTAGATCTTTCCCTATATATAATAGTTGCTGATGAATACATACCCTCAGGGTTGGTGAGAATACAAACATGCCTGTTTCCATAAACGTAAGTACTGGTGTTACTTCTTGCTGTGCCAGCTACAGGAATGGCTTTTTTTCAGCTTTGCTAGTTTTAAGCTGTTGAGCAATGGTTAATGCAGACTTCTCTTTTTGCCAGAAAAGTGACCATCAGTACTTCTGCTCTTTTTATGGTCTTTCCATTATCACCAGAAATAGGATGTTTAACACTTGTATGCCTTTGCAGTGGGGCCTAAAAGATGTACTTACAGCTGCTGGCCTTTACTTGATTAACAGAAAGGAACTCAAGGGGAACTACATAGGCCAGCAAACGTAGGAAGCTTCCTCCAGCTGTAGATAAGGGAAGAAAGAGTCAAATTTGGGGTTTTGTTAGGAGGTATATAAAAAATATGGAAATAAAAACATAAAATAACCTAAGATACTAAGCCCTAGAACCAGATATTTTAATCTGAAGAATATGGCTTTAAAACATATCTACAAACTGCAAGTAAACTCCTCCAGTTCATCAAGTAGATACATTTGAAAACAGGACTGCTGGGTATTACACTGGTCTCAAATCTGCTGTGTGAAATACCAGGAGCAGACACTGTTTCTGGTAATGAATCAGCTTCCCACAAGCAGTGTGGTGAAACAGGCCATGCGTAGGCCAGTTTGATTTGGCACTGGGGATGGGGATACCTTTGGTTGGATTGCGCTGAGCATGCATCCAGCTCTGCCTGACGCAAATTTCTGATGTTATATGCCAAACCCTCTGCCAGGAAGGTTATTCACATCTTGTCAAATGACTGTGCCTGTGCTAATGTGCTATAAGCTAGAGTTAGCTGCTTTGATGGAATAAGGATTGAACACTGCCATTTAATCTTGCCTGGGAGAACATCAGCTAAGCTCTCAACACAAAGTGCGATAGACTGTTTATTTGAAGTTGCTCTGAGGATGGAAATGTGAAAATAGGCAAAGTTAGATTAAATCTGGGTGAAGGTGCATTTGAGGACTCTTCCTTTAACTCTCGTATCAACTACAGTAAGGGACCACTTGAATTCTTTTGCTAAAGAGAGAAAATGAGTTTGGCAGCAAGCAGCACTTTGAACTCAGAAAGCAGCTATATCTGAAAGCATCCAGATCTGTGTGGTTTAGCAGAACATAGGACCTAGCAGTGTGGTCTATTTATAATGTAATGGCAGTTATCCAAAAAGAAAAACTGGGACAAGCTACAGCAAGAGAGTCAAAGCCCTGTTTCAAACCTGCCTATGAAAAGGTGTAGAAGATTGTGTAAACAGTAGCAGTTCATATGCACAAGAATTAAACTTCATCCTGCCTGCTCCATGTTAACAACTTCTTGTTCCATTATGAGGACAGCCTTGACTCAAACCCAACACACTTGACTAAACCCAAGTGTGGTCTTGTCTGTGCAATTGTCTGATTTAGGAAACCTGAGCCCAGACTGTTTCTAGCTAATCTTCCTGAAAACAGGTAAGAACTTCACATGCTACGCTTAGGTGTTCTGAGCTTGAACTGAGCTATTTTTTAAGGGCATACTTAAGAGCCAGGAAGTGAGAGGCAGAACTACAGTAAGTCACATCTGTGCAAACATATTCTTACAGTTTTAATCATTAACCTGCTCGACCTTTATGTTCTCAGACCTGCCCACATTGAGGTATCTGACAGGGCTAGCATTTTTCAGAAGCCATGGAAGGTTTTGCAATAGGCTCCATCATGGCTGTGCAAACTGTTTTATAGAGTTTTATGACAGTTACCAGCTGCTTCAGTTACTAAAAGAGATGCCATAAAGGTCACAAACATTAATAACAAAGCATGCATCTCCTGTGAAAAATTACCTGAAAACATTAGCTTTGGATATTATGCAGAGTACAAATAAGCAGCAAAAGCCCTGTTTGGTATTCATTATTTTGGTTTTCTAGCAAGTGCTAGACTCACTAGAAACTAAAATGAACAAGATGAAGGAAACCCCAGATGGGAGGGATTGAGCATTTGGAGATCTGCCATCTGACATCAGAGAGACAGAGCTGCATTTCTGTTCTGCTTGTACATGACACGATCCCAGTCAAACTTGCATTAGAAGTTAGTCAGGTTTTATATTTAATTCTGTGATTTTTCACTAAGGGGAAATGCCACTGTTTAAAGAGCATTTTTAACAGGTAACAGCCAGCATAATTGTAAATTACTTATTGTCAGCATTCTGCTCCCTAAGCTCCTTAAAAACAATCCATAGCTTAAGTATTAAAACACTCTGCATGCCAACTACCAGTAGCAGCCCAGTTCCCCTGAGCAGTGTTTAATTGATGCACAAGTCTTTTGTGATTTTTCACTGAGGACAAAGTGCATTTAAATTCTCTTTGTTTCTGTAGAAAAGGATTCGGAGTTGTTGATCTGTTGTGGGAAGAATCAACAAGATATCCCATAGAGACTAAGAGTTTAAAAGAACATACCTGCATTTGCTGCTAGTATAGTTTATGTTGAAAAACCACAGAACAACGTACTTCTGTAAGGTATGATAAAATGGATAAGATACTATCATTTCCCCCCATTTTTTTCCAGCTAACTTTTAGCCAGATAGAGAGAAGGAAGTAAGTACAAGAGAATAGGCAAGTCACAACAGTATGGTCAGAAATGGTGCTTTGCTGCCAATCTTGTGTTTTAAGAGCATAAATGCTGCAGCCATTCCACAGGTAGCAAGGCAAAGCTCTCCTGATCTTACTGGCTTGCTTGCTAATGCTGAACTCTGAATTTGCAGTCCCCCCAGCACTGAGAGGTTTCATGTTACTGATTTCTCTTCAGTCAGTTATGATAAGCAGTCAGTTGTCTCCCTTGCAACCATTCTCTTATGTTCCCAGAAAATACTGTATCAGAAAAAAAGCCATGTCATTCCATCTTAAATCAACAGAAGGACCTTGATCCTTAGCACTTGCCTTCACAGGGCATTTTACAGAAACTTTGTAAGGAAAAACTAATGCAACAACTATTGCTTAATGGATCAGTTCCCTAAAAAAGAAGCCTGTCAGCACATAGAATTCTATCTGAATTCAGAGATGCACATGGGTTTTTAAAGGCTGCTTTTCTGTTTTCACAATATTTCAATACACGTATCACCCAGCTGAAAAAAATCTTCCTTTAATGTGCAGTCAGCATGTCCCCACCTTAGAGATATATCCAGCCAGCTCTGTAGATTAATTAAACTGTTTTTATTAATTATACTTTTCACCAAATGGTTCCTTGTTTTATGCATTATGTTAAAATAACATTTTCTATTTCTCACTATTCATTTAGCTATTTTTACTCTGAGGGCTGAGAAATAAGGGACTTTGAAGATCAGCAAGAATCTGTATGAGTTTGTTTTTACCATGCTCACACTTTTGGACATACACTGTGCTATATCCCAAGTGCTTAGGAAACATTTTCAGATTCAAAGACTGCAGCTTGTAGTATTCAATCAGCATACACCTGGCCACCCTTCAAGTACATAGCTTCGGCAGCATTATCTCTGATACAGTGCTCTCCTCATTCCTCCACTCAAACTTGTTCTAGGATCATATCTGTGTTCTGCTACACACACATGTATGAAGAGCTTTTCACGCTGCTCCAGACAACTGAATAGCACTTGCAAATATTTCAATATTATGCTCATGAACTGTGAGATAAGAGATTGTTTTGTGCAGCTAAGCAACAGAGAAATGAATTAGCCTGTAAGTGTTTGACTATCACTTAACAAGAGACAGATCTGTGGAAATTCATTCCAGGAAAACACTGGGATATCACTTACCAGTTGGTACAGTGCAGACTGCAGGGACAAGTAAGCCTTTTTAGCAATTTTGTTATGCACATTTGCATAACACACATGACTGGAGATTTTATTCCCCAGAGTTTCCTGGCACAAAAGAACTGCCCCATTCACAAAAGGGGTAAAGAGTTATTGGAGCCTCCATCACAAACATATTCCCTGCAACTATGTCACTATGCAGCTTGTTCTGCTCAAGCAAAAAACACAAAAGGAACAGCATTATTGTTGGGACAGCCAAAATCCCCCAACAGCCAGAAACCCTAATTATTTCCTGCTCCTCCAAACGATGTTTTCCGGACCCAATTCAAGCAGCTTTCTCCAGCTAAGGTGCTGATTCCTGAGATTCCTGCCTATCACAGTGAGTAACACTGCTCATGACACTCCCTAGTTCATCTCTGCTATGTCTTCCTTTCTATAGCTAAGCTTGGGAACATGAACACCACATTCCGCATTTGAGAAACACCCAGCATAGCAGCACCCTGCTGAATCACAGTCAGAGCTCACTGAGACTACCCCAATATATACACTAAGAAAACAACAGAGACAAGCTGATCCTATGTCTCAGCTCCTACTCACAGCCCCCTTCCCAAAGAAACAAAGCTGCCTTCCTTCCTCCCTTATTATACTCTTTGTACACCTGATAGAGTGCTCACTTCCACCTGGATCTCTCTAACTCTTGCACCTGTGGCCACTTCCCTATGCAGGGGTGGGCTCAGTCATGGGTAAGCTGAAATAAATGCAGTAAAAATCTACTTTACGTAAGTGGCATCAATATTTGACTTAAGGTCATAGTTATCCCTTCTGTTGGCAAAGTTACAGGGGACTAAATAAGCACAATATAAAAATAAGCAATGCAAGAATGACTCTGTCACTTGCTGTGAATTCTGCATCTGTGCTACTGCCAGTATCCACTGCCACTCCTAAGGCAAAAAGTAGCAGTGCAAAGCTACAAAGACCTTTGCCAGTCATCATTTGTAAATGTGGAGTGTTGGGTGCTTCTTGTCCCTGTCCTGCGTGCATGTGCTGTCTGCTGCTGCTGCAGGTCACAGGCTATGCATGGTCAGTGCTGGAGGCTCACATGGGTCTGCAACCTTTTGAGGCTTCTATTTGAGGAAAAAATAAAACCAGCTCTAAGACCATGAGATAGGCACTTTTTACTTCTATTGGAGGGTGCCATGTCTCCTGGGTGAAACAACATGTAACATTTCATTGAAGTCTTCCAAAGCACAAACTTTGCTTGGCTGTCCTGAGCCTCACAGTACCAACTAGGACAGGGTTGTTCTCCAATGATTTCAGCGTGTACCCTCAGTAAACCTTCAGTTGTGGTGCATAGTTTCTGGTAATGCTTAGCAGCACAAGGGAATTAAGCAATATGAAAATGCCTCAAGGAACACACTGTGAAGAAAGCATGCCCCACCTATATGCTACATTTTTTTCGCTCAAGTCTGTACTGTTGACTCAAGTACTCTTTGGAGGGTGATCACCGGAACTGAGGAGGAACCTTAACGTTGTAATAATTTCACGTGGAACTAATAGTTCAGTCATTTGATTTTAAGAACATCAAACCTTCCTGTTTAAAATAAACAGTTCTTTATCTTTCTCATCCGTCTAAATCCGGGGAATAATTCTTTCACCTTCCCCCTCCAAAGATCTAGTTAGTCCTGTAGAAAATATGAGGGGAACAAAAATTCACCCGCTACCAGGTCTTACACTGAGAGCTAAACTTTGCATCAACTATATGAGACACTCACTAACCAAAACAAAATAAAGTCCCTGCAAGCCCCTTCCATTTTCCATCAAGGTTTTTCTGGGAAATAAGTGAAGCAAAATTGCAGGTGAACATCTACCAGTTGAAATGAGCCCTCAGATACTTTAGTTCCCCAAAACAAGAGACCTAAAATCTGCTGCAGTCAGGATGGCACTAGAAGTATTTTCTTATGTGGGCTGAAGTTTGCAATTTCCAGTGTTTCCAAAGGGAGTTCTTTGGGCAGACAGACACACATCGTATGCACTCCATAGAAAGATCATCTTTTCAGGATACACTTTTCTTGTCTCAATTTCAACCCATTATTCTAATTAAAACCCTTTTTACTGTGCAAATCATCACCTCTCTTTGTCAAGGCTCCAATTTTCTGTTATTCAATGCTTAGCTAAGGTACAGCTAACTACTTCAATTTTTCCTCGAAAATAAGTCTCTTGAGAAACCTCTACCTATTTCCAGCCCCAAACTCCACTCTTCTATATCTTTCTGGTAATGAGGGACATTGTCTTCCTTGTGTCTTCCTCTGTGCCAATTAAACACTCTTGGGTTCTCCCCTCTGACTAACAGGAACTGAGGACATAATCCCTTTTCTTTAGGTGGTTCATTATCCACATTCTTCTTTGGAATAAGAGAAACTGTCTGGGCTAAACCTACAATGCCAACTTGGAAACAAATTACTCTGACTTAGCGACATAGCTTAAAACTGCTCTTACTGGCTGAATGAGTAGGAGCCTTTCTTTCAGTTCCTGTAATTGGGAGTTGCTCCTCCTGGCTGTGGAGTAGCCAGCTGACATGGCAATTCCAGGCGACAGGAGTTTTCATACCAACATTCTGGTGACTAAAATGTTGATTTTAAAGGCTCATTATGACAGTGACCAAGAAGTACTGTCCTGGATGATGATGAAGTCTGAACCTCAGTGATTCTGTAAATGTTCACGTCTCCTCATGTCCACTCATGGCCTGCCTATTGAGACAGGAAGTGTTACTAATAGTGATGTAACTCTGCCACAGTATCACAAACACACCAGAAAGAGAGGAAGTCCAGTGAGGTCATTTCGGTTGCTCTTCCTTCCCAGAGAAACAGGATACTCTCCACCATGTATTTTGAATTGTTTTGTACAGTTTAACATCTGATGTAGGGGAAATTTGGTCCAGGTTTTCTCTGTGCAAACTATGCCAAAGTCAGAAGGAATCCCAGTCTGCATGGTGTGGGTGATGGAAAGCACTTCAGAACCCTGTAACTACATCAAGACGATCCAGTATGTCTATGCTGCATCTGGCAGCATCAATTAAGACCTCTTCCTCCTAGGCCCCAGTAAATCCATGTCTGCTGCCTAATGGAGCAAGAAAGATTTATAAGAAGTATTCTTCACCACTATATAAAGTTCCTATTGATGGGGGTCTGAAAACTTCAAGAATCATAAACTGAATCCACTGGCTTTATCCCTTCAGGTGATGGGGTTGGGAGGATCCCCTGTGTTTTGTAGCACAGCAGCACTTGCTGGGTACACACTGTGTGGATTTTTGAATATTCAGGACTCCAGCAAAGATGCATGACTGAGTAATATGCTAGCATGATATAGATGCCACAGAAGGGTGACAGGATTAGCTGGTATTTGACGAAGATAAATATGATTCTGCACAATGAATTTGATTAGAGGCAGCAAAGCAAGACAGTGGATCATAGGGAGAGGGGTTTTCCTAGCACAAGTCAGTTATGGGGTACCTCTCAGGGACTATGCAGCATCTCTACATATGGCATGGGGGCCCTCTTGTGGGCCCTGGTGTCTTCATGGACCCCATTAAAAACTACCAATGTGCTGCCTGAGAGGGGATTAATGTTTATGTTTAATTAGAACAAGGGCTATCCAGCCTCCAGTGCTCGCAGCGGCAGAGGGCACAAACAACAGGCTGTGGGGCTCCAAGTTTTATTGTGTAGAATGTGTATTTTTCTCAACTAATTCAGAAATTACTGGAGCTTGAAAGACACAACAGTTCAGTCTGCATGGCTGACTAGATAAGCTGCACCTCAGATATGGCAACACTGTAAAATACTGAGATCGTATTTTGCTTTTCCATGCATTCATCAGTCTATTTTCAACTCACAGTGAAGTGCAGCCCAACTCACCTTTGTCCAGTTCACATCTTCTTGCTGTCTCCCATCCCACACATGTTTGCAATCATTGCTAATTACAGTCATCACCCACAGACAGGAGGTGAGCACATCAACAGCCTTCATTTCTTGTGCTTTTGTCCCACTGTGGTTATTGGGAGCTGGTGGATATATACACTGTCAAACCTGATCATCTCACATTAAGCACTTAGTGTAGACACAAATTAATGTGTCTAATAACTGTGAGAGGACAAATTCTTACCACCTACAAGCCTCCAGTATCTGAAAGGGGCCTATAAGGATGCTGGGGATGGACTCTTCATGAGGGACTGTAGTGACAGGACAAGGGGTAACAGGTTAAAACTTAAACAGGGGACGTTTAGATTGGATATAAGGAAGAAATTCTTTACTGTCAGGGTGGTGAGGCACTGGGATGGGTTGCCCAGGGAGGTTGTGAATGCTCCATCCCTGGCAGTGTTCAAGGCCAGGTTGGATGAAGCCTTGGGTGGCATGCTTTGGTGTGAGGTGTCCCTGCCCATGGCAGGGGGGTTGGAACTAGATAATCTTAAGGTCCTTTCCAACCTTAAATATTCTATGATTCTATGATTCTCATGGAAACCACTGCTGTTTCTAACCATGTTCAGTGTGAAATAACTATGCAAACTTCAAACTAAACATCCCCACGCACTCAAGACATGGAATCTGCAAGATCATGCAAAATCTGTTTGCCAAGGTGAGCAGAACCTCAACAAAACAACCCAAGTAAAGATAATCTATTGCAAAGCCATGCTCCTCTTTAGCCAGTGAGGTGGCTAGCAGTAGGAATAGGAAGGTGCTGGTCCTACAACAGCTATTTTTAAAGCACAAATACTTCCTGACACACCACCTCTGTTTCCTGGGTGTTAATTGCAGCCCTCCACGGTGAGAGTGAGTCTTTGCACTCCCCTTCAGAATAAGTACATCCCCTGCAGGCATCACACCCAGTCTGCCTGAGCAGAGACACATCTCCATTTTCAAAGGCAATTCTATGCACCCAGGTGGAAGGGAGATGAAGTAAACTGTGGCCAACAGAGCCCTGATCTGCTGAGTCTGAATAAATGTGTTCAACAACAGTTTGGAGCCACTGGCAAGCTTCACCTCCCCATCTGTAGGAAATAAATTTCTGCCCATCGCAATAATTAAGTGATGATATAGCTGGAAATTCAGAGGTTAGTAATAACCCACTCTAGGAAAGTGGGATAATTTTGTTTGCTTCCCAGAAAAAGACTTTAAGGGACTTAAAAAATAAAACCAAAAGCCCTACCAGCACTGCCCTGTCCCACAGCTACAGGGCATTTACATTTTTAACCACAGCACTGTACTGATGTATGTTTTCACTCTGAATTCCAGCATCTCTGGTTTGTATTAACAAGTTCCTTCCAGTCTTTATAAACTTGTTGGAGCAGAAAGGGACGAGAAGGCAGAGGTCGATGTTCTGTTCAGGTTACTCAGGGCAGCTGATCTATCCTTCTGGATAGGCACTTGATGTAAATCAAGGTGGAATTTAAGCAATGGATTAAGTATCTACCCAAGCTAATAATTATGGGAAATGAATCCCTCCCAGGGAATACAGAAATTTTATGAATGTTTTCCAGCTCTATCATCATGATCCTGGTGTGCTTTCAAGCATAGATTTTCCCTGGTTCACAAAGGCATGAAGACAATCAGCTATGCTTTTCTGGTCAGCCCCTTTCTACATGTATCCTTAATAGCTTTAATAGTAAGTTATATCACTGTCTCAGCCTGTCTTGTCTACTCAGCAGTACTGTTTCACATGTGGGCTGTCTCTTGCCACGTTCAGCGTGGAGCATAATGAAGCCCTGAGAGGAAACTAAAGAGACTCCTACCAGGTGTTTAGAGATACACCTTTGCAATGGCATGCCACTGAACACACCTACTTTAAACATTTTTTTGTGGTTTTCTTGTCCAAGAAACAAAAGCCGTTTGGTTTAAATGCCGATTTTTTTTTTCCTCAAGCAATTCTTTCAAATCCTTTCGGAAGTTTCTCTTGCTGTATTCTACAAACTCTATGAAAATAAACTTACATTTGTTCTAAATGATGTTAACAAAAGAAACAAGTCCTCTAGGTGGTGCTACTATTTCAAATAAAGCAGCTGGATGCTTGGAGGTTTTCTTGTAGTATACTGCTGTGGTACCCCGTGAGAAAAGAGCACTGAAAAATCCTGGCCCCAGTAAAAGAATTGATGTCAAATAACCTGAAACTTCATCTAACAAGTGTTAGCAGTGAAGGGCAGTCTGGATGTAAATATAGTAATTGCTTCTCTTTAAGAATGTGAGTGTTTCAGTATCTTACTAAATGCAAAAACATTACAGAATATATTGATGAAAATTATCTTTCAGTGGTTGACTCAGCTTTCTATGTCTTTGATTTCCAGTTTTCCCAATAATTTGCAACTGACCCCTCCAGCATACATACAACTCTTCAACTTCAATGACTCATATGAGTATTCCCTGACTGCAGTCTTTGCATGTGGCACAGGCCAAGCATGACAGCTTTCCCTGGTGAAAGCTGCATGATCTGGCCCAACTTCACAAAAGCACTTTAGCACAATTGTATTTCAAATACAACCACTGAAACAGTACACATACTTGACCTGGAACGTGGTTAAAAACCTTGTTGGCTTAAGGATATTTGTATATGCACACTTTACTTGGGCATTAAAGGCTGTTAAGTGCTTTAGTTATTACATAACAAGGAAAGAAGGTAAAACGATTTACCTTTTCTTGCTCAACACAGCTGCACAGGTCCAGTACTGAAATATTGGGCCAGCTGCCTATAGGACAGATTTTCTGATCCTTAATTCCTTTCTGGCCAGCCACTTTCCTAGAGGATGCCAAAGTTCCTCTTATTCTTTCTTCTCTTTCCAGGGCTCCTATCTGTACTTTTTGAACATCTGCCTGTTTTCTCTCTGATATTGATCCTGATTCTCTTTGTAATCCAGCCACACGGATTTGCAGCACCAGATTTCTTTCCCCGTGTGGTTGCTGTCAAAGTCAAGAACAAAAACTTTCTGATTTTAAGATTATTATTGTTATACATTATTATACATCTGACCTTTGAAACATATATTCGCTATAACCACTATCTCTTACTTTGTGCAAAGTTCATCTGTTATCTAAATAAATGTCAAGTTTGGGATCTTGTTAAGCCTTCAGCCTCAGTAACAGTAACTGTGAATTCTGGAGTTTATTCAGACAGTGTAAGAGAAACATTTCTTTCATTGATTTTGACTAGTCAACCTTTAAAATTTCACAGAGTATATTTGTTCTTGTGTATGAGAAAAGAATAACATCTCTAGATTATACATTGTTTTGTTTTCTTTCTTTGTGTCCCCATTTATTTATCTGCTTTCCAGGAAACATTCCTCATAGGAACGTATCTCTGGACTCTTGGTGATTTTTACTGCTCTTTTATGCCTCCTTCTCCAATTTTGTAACAGCCTGGTTTTTGAGGCTGCAAAGCCACCAAATCGGGGCTGTAACTGCTCACACAAATACTTTTTAAAACAAGAAAGAGAATCAAAAAGCAGACAGGAAGTATGAAATCCACTCTGTTCAGTATCAAGTGATAACCATTTTTCTCTAGGTGATTTTGTTATTTTCAGGTTATCAACAGAATATCCACAGCCCCTGACCACTTGCACCATCCTGCAAAACTTAGTGAAGTTCCTGTTAGCTAACAATCAATGCAAATGTCAGCTCACATCTCAGAAATGCATGAGGGTACTTACAAAGAGTAAAAGAAATGGATGAAGACTTGCAAAAATCTGCACTAAAAAAGTGCACTTACAGACAGCTCAGAAGTGTGGGTAAATCTCTATTTATTTATTTATAAAACAAAACAAAAAACCCAAACAACTATGGAAGCTGTTTCCAATACTTCACAGAGAGCCTAGATGCAAATATCAAGCAGTACAGTTTCTTGATAATTTATATTAAAAATAACCATGAAGGCATGAGCTTAAACAACAGGTAGTTTATTTAGCGTATTTTATGAATCCTTGCACACTGTAATTTCCCCAATCCTCTATCTTTTTCCAGAAATCCCTGTTCTTATGAACAAAGTGCTTTAGTTGTCCTGCTTGTGAGAACCAACAAAGGCAACTACAATTAACCTTCTGAAAAATAACATAAGATTAGACTGACTTTGGAAGTGATTCCTTCAACATCTCAGAATATTCTGGCTCATAATAAGGTTCCAAAATAGGTTTTAATTTGACTTCTTCTGGTAGTTTTTGTGTCTCTTCTCTCCTGCTTCCATCTCTTAAAAGCGGAACCAATGTTTTCCAGTTTTTCCCTGAAACTAAAAAGCAAATGAATGGTTAATTTTTCACCCTCCACAGAAACAGAAGAAATTATGCAAGTGGTTTAAATAGGAAGCTGATGAAAGAAGAAAGAAGCAGGAAGAAATGGTTTAGTGGTTTTCTTCCCCATACTGTTCCATGAGCTTTCCATATTTCATCTGGTAAACACCAGCAGAGACTGATTGTACAGTTAAATTATTCTCTGCTGGATGCTGAGCTCACAGACTACAGGGTTTGGGGTCTCTGAAGTACCTTCCTGGCTATCTGGCTGCTACTCTACACTGTTCTATCTCCTCTGGATTTACACATATTATCTACCTCATAAAAATCTACAATGGGAATGATGAATCCATGGGGCTTCTATTCCAGTGAGTAAAACTGCTATGTGAATAATGAGTCCACTTAATCCTTTACATTTTGTGCTGACTAAAAATGCCATTAACTTGGCTACGGCCATTATCATTAAGTGCATTGAACTGACTGCCCTCTAACAATTAATTGATGCTGCTTCTATTACCAGTGTCAAACCCATACTAGGATTTAGGTTCCTGAAACCCTCACCTCTGCCAGGCTTAATAGAGTAACTGGGATTTCGTTTGAGGTCCCCAGAGCACCCAGGGTCTTCATTGATTATGCCCAAATTAGTGTTCCACGTGGACCAGTTCACTTCATCAACCCTAGGGAGAGAACACAAAACCAGTATCTATTCTAAGGGTCACCAGACCACTCCAGAACGAGTTTAGATCACAAACTGTCACCTCTCAAGCCTCAGATCTGACCCAGAAAACAGATTAAACTGATTACTGTAGACAGTGTCAGTACACTGCTTCTCAGAGTGCTTCATAGGAAAAGTTCTGCTTCCCATCACCAAACCTTATTGCTATTTGTCTACAAAAGATTGTTCATTTGACATACAAACAGGTTACCTAAAGCACCATCTGTAATCATCTTGGCCATCAGGTGTGACCCCGACCAAGACTTGCTTCCCAGATCGGAATGAGCGCCTCACACAGTTCAAGTAGCTGTTCTCAATATCCAAGATTGTGATAGCTCTCTATAGGTAAAAGAAAAGAGAACACTGAAAGGCTGCAGTTTTAAGGTCCCTCTGTTAATATGTCATTAAAAATGCTGAATTACTGCTCTGTGATTAGAACTGTTAAGTTCTCTTTCTTACCTCAAACAAAAACTGATATGCCTTTGAGGTTCTGGTAAAGACTGTTTTTCTCCTTGTGTAATCCCTGTCTCCATAGTCTGATAAGGATTTTCCATCATCAAAAGCCCAAATAATTTTGTCTAATAACAAAAGTACTTATTTTCTTAAATTCTGAACATCTCTGGAACACTGGGAACATCTGCTTAGGCAAAGCATCAAATATGCATGGAAAAGGAACCAATATACTTTTTTTAGGAACTGTTCAGGGGATCAGAAAGCAGCAGTGACCTGATACTTAAATACCTGTCAGTTCCTAAAGATTCTTTCTAAAATTTGTGATTCCCCATACCCTCTTTCTTGGATAACAGCCTCACATAACCAGTGTACCTGGAGTTTCCAGATGCTCTTGCTCTCCTGTGCGATTTTGCTCACAGTTTCCCCCATCAGTGCAATAAGCATGTTGAGCAGGAGGATGTACGTAAGGATGACATAAAGAACCAAAAGGATGACAAACACTGACTTGAACCTGTAGTTCTCTGTGAACTCCAGGTCCCCCATCCCAATAGTGAACTTGAAGAGCTCCAAGCAGGTATAATACAGACTATTGTAGGATGTGCGGCCTCGTTTCACATGGCAGCATCGGGAATATTCAGAGCTATTTGTATCCTGCCCCTCATTGTCATCTTCAATTAAAGTCACCACAGCTGTTGCAAAAGAGGAATCACATATGCAAGATGAAAATACAATTTGGAATCATAATTCCATTGCGAGCAATGAAAGTGAGGATAAACATAAGACATTTTATCTTCATGGTTACTGTCCCCAGAGAAACTGCTCTATAAAATATTTGCCTGAACTGACACCCTCTCAGAAGGTGTTGTGTCAGTTTTAACTATATAGAACAGGATGACTGTTTCTCCATCAGCTTTGCAAAGCAGTTTGAGACCCAGTGAAGAAAAGCTGACAAACTACTACAGATAATTGTTATTCTGAAGAGATATTTCTTTTGTAATAAGGTTAATTTGTTAGTTCTAGTTGGAAACAAAGTCAAAGCCACTTGAAAAATAAAATCTTCTGAGATTCTTTAAGGTAAGAAAAAGTAACTCCAAGTGTGACCTTACCTGTAGAAAATCCCAAGAGGAATACTAGATAGACAAACATGAAGCGACATAAATCTCTAAGGATCATCTGTAAGATGGAAAAAGAGATTTTTATACTGTTAGAACTTGAATATAAACTACAAAAAAACCCCAACTAGTAGAATATACTGCTTCAGCTTAAGAAGGCATTTGCTCTGAGTGGCTGTTCATGCACTGAACAGCTGTTTATCCTGCTGAGATAACAGAACTTTAATACAGAAAACATTTTTCTCCATTACTTATGCAACAGTTTACATATGCAAGACATATGCATGCCAAATAATTTCATCTTTGTGAGGATCAACCACATTAAGACAATTTCATCTTTCTTCCCCTCTTGGGCAATCTGTCTACATCATACATAGAGATTTATTAGCCAACTACTGCCTCTTAGATATTGCTCTGTTTGGTAACATTTAAACTATACCTAAAGAAATTTCCAGCTGATAGAAGGCTTTGCCATTTCCCACCACACCAGTCTGCACTGTTCTCAGTCTACTTTAATCCATCCCTATCCAACTGTAGCTGTTTTGAAGCATAGGGGTTAATAATAATACCACATCTACTATAAAATACATGGATGAGGAACAGGACATTTTTCTACATAGCTTAAAATTGGATCATTTAATTCAGAAAATAATGACCAAGTGCAGTAGGATGGTATAAGATTTCCCACTGACATCATGGATGTAGATATGGCAACTTCTCTCCTGGAAACAGGGCTGTTGGCAGCAGTGTCCTAATCTGAGCACTTTGCTGGCCTCATCACCCACTCACACTGAACTAACCTTAGCAATCATGACAGAGTAAATACCCATCTGCTGGAAGCCACGGGTGTAGTACAGCATGTTTGCCCAGCCCAGTGCCAAGGAGAAGACCATGGAAGCCACATACAGTTCCTGGCCACAGAAGTACAGCACCACAGAGCTCAGGAGGAGCAAGGAGTGAACAAAGCTGAAAGAAAAGCATGGTCTGAATGCATGAGGTAATACATCAGAATGAAGGATTCTCCAAAACACAAAGGAACCTTAGAAGACATTTCCTCTCCCTTCATTCTTTTGCTTCTTAAACTCTACAATTCCTCTTGCAATCTACGCCATTTGCCCACATACAAATTCCGGTAGGCTCATCCCTGCTCTTCCTTGTTACTGGAGGGAGGAAAAGGCCTTGAAAACACCAGTTTCTTCAGCACTCCCACTCTTTCCACAGACCCATGAAATTGCCCTGTTTAATTGCACTCCAGCTAGGGGGAGAAACAGCCCAAATTATTGAGAGGCAAAGCTCCCTTCAGGAATAGGAGGATTTCTGCACATCCAATGCTTACACTTGATTGCAAGCCCAACTTAGAGATCTATTCCTAACTCTGCTGCATGACACAGTTACTGAACTTCTTACACTCCATTTGCCTTACCTCCCAATCAGGTACCGATCCAGACCTGCTTGTTCCAAGTGCTATGTTATCCACTGGCAATTATTTTGTAAGGACCCAGGAAATTACAGTAAAGCATCTACCAATTACAAATGGCTTCAGCCAAAGTTACAGATCTCACACACTGAAATGCAAAGATATTGGAGCTTACAAAAGAACCTCACTGTAGCTGTCAACTATCAGTGTCCTGAATGACGGGCGCCTCTGCACAAAATACTGTATCTGAAAAGAAAAAAAAAAGGGGTGGGGGAATGAAGACCAGGTTTGCATCCATGGAGGGATTAAGTATCCCATGTGAATGCATCGACTAAGCACTGATACATATACCAGGAAGCTAGTACCTATTAAACATCTCCCAGAATAATTGAAAACCAACACTGGCACAAGATCTAGGAAAGACTCTTCAAGTGACACTTGGTTTCTCTTTCATCTGGCACCTCTTTTGAAGACAACACCTTTTTGAAGACAAGTCATTGGTTTGAGGACTGTGTTTTACTGCACACTCCCCATTGGCTGCCAAGGGAAAGCAGGGGGACTTTAAGCTAAGACGGGTGATCTTTAATAGAGGCCTGGCTATTTGCAACATCCCGTTTTTAAGCCTTGACTAGGCTAATTATCGAGATGCTCATTGGCTTCTAAAGATAGAATTTTTTTATACAATAGATGAAACTGTACCTTAGCTCATTAGTAACTGGAGAACTCCTAATCAGGCCAAGAAAAAAAGATGTGTAGTTCTCAACTACAACAAGGATCATTGTAGCAGCCAATGCTAATGAACAGGAAAGGCATGTTTGATTCTCTCCTACACCAACTCAAACAGCAGAAGGAAAAGTTTCAAATATCTTACCCCTCTGAGAAAAAAATAGAGACCTCCCAATACACTCAGGATCTCTCCCGTCACTCGAAAATATTCCCCAGTGCTGTGACCAAATGTGAAGGGAGGCTGTGTAAGACAGAATGATAGGTATGTTCAGCAGAACTGGAGATGGCAAAGCCAGGTCCTTCCTAGCAGCTGAAAGCAACTGTATTTCTGAGGGAACACATTAATTTTCTGAATAGGTTGCCGCAAGGGGGCAAGACTGGGAGCCAGCAGGGTCAAAACCTCCCCCCTATCCTCAGGAAAGAGGAAAATCCTGATGTTAAGAGCATACATTCAAATGGGAGGCAGATCTGGGGTATCATGCACTGGGTGGTTCCCCTAATATATGCCAAGAGTAACATACCTTCTCTTTCTTCTCTACAGGTCTGTAGTAGGCTGCTGCAGTGAGGATGATAATGTGCAGGGTATAGACAAAGAAGTTGAAGTAAAATAAGTGTTTGACAAACCGGTCCCACTTGTCTTGTAACAGCCTGTTAAGGGGTTCCACCAGCAGCATCTCATGACGGTTCTGAGTGGAAGGAAAAAGAGAAGAATCTTGACAGGACCAGTACATAGTAGGCTCTGGAAACAGCAATGATATTCATCTTCAGCAAATGTTCCCTCTAGTGCTTAGACTCAGGAGGGGAGATTGCTGTTTTACAGAACTAAGGCAAAAGAGCAGGAGCTCTTCCCCAACAGTGAATAAAATGCCAAGGAGGTGCATACTCACTGGGGTTTCACTGCTGTAGGCAATAATCTCAAGCACTGAATTTTTTTCACATGTGTCTATACAGGACAGGTCATAAAGGGATGAGTGGACAGGTCCATAAGCCCATTCAGTGAACTTCCTAGACAAATGTCTGCACTCAGGATCTTTGATCTCTCGTCTGAGGATGTAAGCGAAAATCTAATTGCAAAAGAACAATACAACCAACATTTCAGTGCTAATGGACTTCTAGTTCCTTGGTATCTCCACAAGACAGGATGACTAATTTCTCCCTAGATTAACTGAAGTCAAATGACTGGAACACTGCAGAGATCAAAGTCTGAAGTGAACACTATTAATTTTCTGACTGGATGCTGGGAGACATGCAATACAAATACCACTTCCAACTTGCTATGACTGGTTTCAAAACTGCAAGAGAAAAGCAGAGATGTACGTTACACATCTCTGAGCATGCAGCCATTTGGAATGGGGACTGCCAAAAGATGAGTTATATCAGCCAAAGTACACGGCCCGTAGTGGTTCAGATGACAGCAGAGATCCACCTTCTGTTTCCACTTGGGCTGCCTGCATACCAGTCATGTATGAGTAATGCAAGCTGGGTACAGACACACACACTTTGTAGCCTTTAAGTTTGGCGGGTGAAAACTATAGTTTTGCAGGTTAAACTGCAGCACTGGTTCCTCTTAACTAAAAGGCCCTAACAGTAAGCAGTGATAAAATCTGTCCTACATAACTATTTTGCATGTACACTGTATAACTTGGTACAGTAATGAGACAGACATTTGCTCACCTACCCCTATCTTCCCTGTTTTGGCTGCCAGAGTTAAAGGAGTCAGCCCTTTCTTGTTGGTGAGTTCTTCTAGCTTCAGGATTGGATTAATTTTGGCACCAAGGATCAATATGTTATTGTACATCTTGGTAACAAACTTGGTATTATCCTTAGTATTATCTGCAATCTCCACCAGTGTGTGAAGGACCATGTTGCCCATGGAGTCCTCAGCAGCGATGTTGGCAGCCTGATAGGGATTCTCAAGGAGGAATTTCACAATGCAAAGCTGGTTGGTGCAGGCAGCCAGGGACAGAGGCAGCTCCCCTATGGGCAAGCAATGGGAATGAGTTATCAGAAAGCCCATTATTACACATACATGAACAGAAAGGTCACATTGTTTTCATCTCTCACTGTGAGGTCAATTTCCCTGTATAACAACTATCACCATTTTTTGTGACAGTTGTTACAATCACATCTGCTCTGGTTTAACTGCATCACAGAAACATGGCTCCTTAAAAAAGCACTGGAAGGACAGTTGACAGAAGGTTACAACCTTTCAAAGGATACAATGCCCAGGATACAGAGGCTACAGAGTCTCCAGTCCCACATAAACAGGATTATTTAACAGCTTGCATTTGGGATTATTGATTGAGCTATCCTAGCATTAAGCCCATACTATGCTCACCCCTACCAAAATAAAAGCCAGGTTTCCCTTTGATTTTCCTGAAGAACTCCCCACAGGCTCTTGCATGAACGTCTGCTCCATTCTGGACCAAGAGCTTCACCAGGTACATGTTCCTTCTCTCAATGGCGATGTGAAGTGCAGTCTGGCCTACAGAGACATTCATTAGATGAAATCTTCAACATTTAATATAGACTGAGAGCTTTCAGGCATGACAATTTGTCCAGCTCCAGGTAAGATGGTGGAACTGAGAGCTTTGCAGAATAAAAAGCTCTGTAATTGAACAAAAAAAATGATGGCACAGAGAGCAAATGCAACTCCCCTGAGCTTGCTATTAAATCACTGTATAAAAAATGGCAGAATATTGCACCTCACAGAACACTGCCCTAGAATGAATGCACTGATTGTTAATCACACACTGGAACTTTGGGTGCTGCATCCTCAGGCATAAGGCCTCATGCAGAAGGCTGTTTGAAAGCCCTGCCTAACCCTATCTTCAGACTTAGCACCAAGAGTATTCACTGCAGCAGTCATTTCTCTTACCCTTGTAGTAATTGTCCGTATACTCTGCGTTAACAAACTCTTTCAGAGTTCCAGTTTTCTTTGCAATATCCAGCAGCAAGGGAATAGTGTCATTTTTCCCATCATGTAGATTCAGCATGGCTTTCAGTAAGCAGGTTTTCCCAGTTTCTGGCTCTATAGCACAAAAAAATTGAAGCTATACAGAAGTGATTGAAAGCCTCCTATCTACTCCTGGGCATGCAGGAATTAATGAATTTCTTTTCAAGAGCTCATACAGGGTTTGACAGAAAATTGCAACTTTTCTGAATTCTCCTGTAACCTTACAATCAATGTATTTTTGCCCAATCAATAAGGAAGCACTGGCTATTAGAGGACCTCCTGCAGACACTGAACACAATTACGGTTTTTTATTTCAATCTCAGGAGCACTGCTAGAAGAAAAAGAGGGCAACTTAAGGTATGTGAAATTAAAGGGTACCTTTGAACTCATCATCTGTGAGATGCTTCAAGGTTCTATTAAGGTAGAGCAGCAGATCATCCAGGTCCCTTGTGTTGCCTTGGGCTACAGCATCAAAGATCCTTCTGCGGTCATAAAATTTAAAAGCCTTTTCTGAGCAGCCTGTGATGGAATCTGTAGATAGGAGCCTAATAAGGGAGAATTTCAGTTACTTGAAGTCAGATATTTAGCATAACTTTTTATAAACTACCACAACACTATTTTTCATTTTCTTGTGTGAAATAATAAGCACTAGAGATGGATCTGCAAAGTCTCTGAGGTCAACAAAGTCTGCAAGCAACTGTCCTGAAAAATTTACGTATCTGTTGCTGAAAGTTGAGAACAAGGTTTAACAGAGGTATTGTGCACAACAGCTTAACTGCGGGCTGGGAGCCAGGCAAGCCCACGTTATCATTCTGAACAATGTCCATTCACTAAACAGAATTAAGGTCTACTGCTAAATTTGGGCAAAATATACATGGAATATATTTTCAGAGATGTCAAGAGACAACAGCTATTGTCACTTTCATAGGCAACACACTCCTTATTTTGGCATAGAAAACACTGAAACTGAAAAAATGGGCACACTCGTGGAGAGAACAAATGCTGCTCCAAGAAACAGTCTGCAGCTGTCAAATCATTCATTACAACCAAATCTTGCAAGGCAAACTTACTTGTGAAGTTTCCCCCTTTCCAAATTGGCATGAAATTTGATGACAGAAGGTGCCAACAGGTGATCCATCTGGTACAAGGAGTCCATGGGAGCCATGTCCTTATCACTATCCCCCATCACAAACCTCCCACGTCTTGCAAAGATGTTGCTTTTGGGTGGCTGGACCTTGGTGCCGAGTGTACTCTGGAAGCTATCAGGCGTTTCCAGCGTGGAGTCCTCCCCATCTGTGTGTTCATCTGTCGCTTCAGATTCCTCCATGTCAGAACTGCCAACTTTCTTCATCTTCCCAAGAATAGAAGACATGATGAGCAAGCAGCCTGTGGGGAATGACACAAACACCTCAAGTCAGCACTTCACAGGGCTATGAGTTCCCGTTTTGCCTAGAAGTACTCTCCAGAAACAGCAGGGAATGGATTGGTTACTCTCATCTTAGAAATGAGACAGATGGATACATTCACTAGAGAGGTGAAACAATTTAGTAGGTCATTATCTCCATGCTATTTGTTACTGTCCCCACTGCCCTTACCTATTTCAGAATGGAGAAAGCAAGTCAGAGTGCCCCAGATCTTGCCAGCAACCCCACTGCAGACCTGACTACTTCCCCCCTCCAATCATTGTTAAAGCCTGAACAATCTTTGTTTTTCTTCTCTACTTTCTGTTTTGTGCCACGGTATGTTCTCAGGATTTTATCAGGCATGTGAAAAACACCAGGTGTGCCATAACAGCAGCTCAGGGATGCTGAGCACTGAGGGCTTCCTGCGTATTGGAAAATTATCACTTAATGGCTTCACCAGAATTACAGCAGTGCCCAGTGAAAATCGGAGCGTGTGATTCTTGAGATGAGTATCACTTCAAACATGAGATAGAAAGGGAAAGGTTACCACAGATAAGAGATGACTGCAAAACCACATGTCTGATCTTGTCTGATTTACAACCACAAAGAATTAGACACAAGTTAACAAATATACTATACTGAAAGTATAGCAGGCTTTTCCTGCTTTCTTACCAAACTGTTTTAATCAGACAGATGTTGGTCTTTATGCCACTGAATGCAAAATATTCTGGAACTCCAATAGTGGAGACAGGAATGCATCATATCTGAACTGCTTTTAGAGAGCTCTGATCAGCCTTAAAAACATACTCTGAACTCCCAGGTTGCTTGGAAATCTTACAGCTTTGAGCACAGGAAAGTTACAAAATCTTTAAGAAGTCTTCAATTATAAACCAAATTATAGTAGTCACTAATCTTATCTGTATATTCAGTGTGAAAACAACATCATAAACACGCATCAAGGTTGTTTCTCGTCACAAAAATATTCTGAGGGCTTGTCTGCAAACCTACACTACACATTAAAGCTGAATTTTCACTTCCATAAGACTAATTAATATTTACATTAAGGGTCCCTTACATTTTTCTGTGCAAGCAGGATAGGAAAGAAACTTTTGTCAGGCATTTGCGTTTTCTATAATTTTGTACAATACGTAAAGAAAACATGAATTTGCATACTTGCACATTTAGGGTTACTGGAAGCACCACAGTGTAGTACAGATGAAATACTAACGTCCTCTGTGCTCACCTTTCAAGTTCTTTGTGTCCTTAGAATCACTGAAAGGATAAACATAGTATCTTATTAGCTTAATTGTCCTATAAATAAGAAATCATACATAGAAAAATATTTCCATTTGGAATATGATACTAAAAATAGAGAAAAACAATACTGCAGTGAAAAAAGTTATAGTTTTATAAAAAATACACTGGGAATACAGCCATGTACAGGTTTAATTATTTGTCTTTAAATTAATATGGATTAAGCCAAAACCATCAGTGAGATGGCTGTGGAAAATGGAATCCCTTGTTTTCCACTGAATAGGTGCAGTATTAAAATCCACAGAAGAGACTCAGTCCTGTCCCCCTGGCAATTTTCTCAAACCTAGGTTAGTCATGATGTGTGCTTTCATTTCTCAACCCTGTTGTTAATATCTTTGATAATAAAGACAAAGCTGCATTTCCTCAGGAGTATCAATTTGCAAGGGAAATAAACTGCACAATTCTGTGGAAGGAATCTTAAAAAGAAAAAATAAACTAATAATTATATAGCCTAAAAATTCATAACCTACCTGAACTCTTTGATTCCTGGGCGCACTGAAGTTCGATACAATAAATGAGACAAGGAAATATTTATGACAGAGTGTCTAACCACATCAGAACTTACAATAAATAATAAAGAGACTTTACAAACAGCTAAAGCTGTGCTATTCAAATATACACGCACAGCTTTCAAGTACAGCACAAAATCCTGTCTTCTGAAAAACAGTCCAGTCAATAGTCTGCATAAGCACCCTCTGATCTACAGAAATTTGGTGCTGGATATTCCTCTTCCAAGGTGCCTGGACTGAAAAGCCCTCAGAGTTTGCTTCTCCATCTGTCTGCAAAAGTGTTCTATGTGTCTGATGATTTTTAGAATCAAGGGAAGTTCACTAGAACAGAGAACAGAGTAATAAGATCATTAAGAACAATTCTGGAACCAGAAGCATCAGCGGCTTTTATTCCCAGGAGTTTAGCAAAGCTCTTTACAAGAATTGCAGTAAGTTGCTGTTGTTTTTCCCTCCCCTTTAATTGCATTTAGTAATGGATATGCTTCTCCAGATTTCCTCTTCATAAATACACTCAAGCTTGCAAAAAAATTCCAAACCACCAGACAGCAATTGTCTCTGTGGGTCACAGTTTCAATTAAATTTACCAAACCATGTAACACACGCCACAGCTCTTATCTGAGATCAGTCATCTTTCTGGACACCTTTCTTGGGTGTAAAGGCCCACCAAGTATTTTAAAGATAAGCTGATTCTGGACAGAGCTGAGGAAGAAAGAAAGTCCTAAAGTCATTCTATCATCCCATATTCCTAATATGTTTTAATTAATATATACATGTATGTAACAGCTTCTAAACATTAATGTCATTAGGAAAAAAAGAATCCGTATCTAATCCAGGATGGATCTAATACCCTGAAAAATGAAAAGCTGTGTCATACATTGTTAAATATATGATTTGTATAAGAACCTGCTGCCAAAATCTAGTCTAGAGAAACAGCTTTTCCAGCAGGCTGAGCTGAGGCTGTAGCTGTTAGACTCAAAGCAACCTCTAAACTTCCAGCTCCTGACATTTCAAGTTTGAACATGAAATTATTCAACAAAATTATGTAGTTTATGTTTTGCAAAAGGTAACTATCTTTCTAGTCTTGCTATCTTTCTATATATATATAAAGGAATAACATATTTGCCTATTTAATAGCAAACTAATTATACTACTTAAAACACCCTAAGGCATTGCACTCTGAAGAAATAAAATGCCTATTTATTAATGCATAAGTACAGATTACCAATAAGGCAGGTTGTTAGCTGGTGCTCCTGGAACTTTGCTGAGCAGAGCCATCTCATCCAACATTATTATTAACTCCTTCACCATTCCAAAGCAGAGACTCAGTAAGAAAGTTATAAGGATCAGTGGAGGATGTCCCTTATTCAGTCTCTAGCTTCCTCCTGGTCCTTTTTGCTAAATGCTTCTTCTCTCTCTTCCCATACCAGGCATCAGCTCCTCTCAGTCCTCCCATGCTCTGATGCACACACTTCAGGAACTTTCTGCTATGTTTTGATGTCCCCTTCATCAGCCTCCTTGACCTGTATTTCTTGCGAAGATGTTATCTGCTTCTTAGCAGCAGCACTCCATTGCTTTTTGCAACAGTTGCTGGGACATACCATATTCCGTTCTCAGCAGGGACCTGGTTTAAAGATATAAACTAATAAGGAGATGTGGATGCTTATCAAAATAGGCCCGTTAGAAACAAGAAGGAACTTTCTTTCTTGGGCCTGCATCCAACCTGCTGCACAGGCTTTGTGCAATTTCTGTGCTTGAGAGTGATTTTACCAACTAAGAGCCCTCTCTATCACTGTAAAAGGAAAAACATCAGCATATGTGCTGAAGTTCTTAAAGACCTATCTGAATCCAGCCTACAGGCCTGCAGAGGTGGTCTTGCCTTCACTAATAGAACCTAAAACCTGACCACAATTTTACCAGCTTCTGGAAACAAAAGTTAACAGCATGCTTGAATAGTATTATCAGCTCTTTCCAGTTATTCAAGAAAATTGAAAGCACATCTGCTGATACAAAAATACTTTATAAAAACATAAAAAAGAAAACAACATATAAGTAATTCAGATTTTCTATAAAACCATTAATCTAGCCTATACTTCCTCTGTAATTCCTATGTATGCTGATAGTTCCCTAAACACAGCATGAAATAGATGCATGGAGAGCGGGTGGAGGAAGATGGAAATGAATCTATCTCTGCAATTTAGATTTCAGAACAGCATTCTCACTACAAAAGTGAGTCACTGATGTTGCTGATGTGTAAGACAGGAATACACATCCATATTTCAGTCAAAATACATGCTTCTATGTAATGAAAGTGTATCTAGATAACACAAAACTATCTTACTTGCTTCCCAATCTCATTTGAGCAACAAGGTGTACACCCATCTTGATTTAGACAGAAAAAGTATACCTGTTTTCGTTTTAAAATAAAGCATAGGGGGAGAAAAAAATTTTACAAGCATAACATGAGATAAAAACTTGGACATTTAAAGGGAATTCAGATGAGCAATACTTGACATTAAAAAGAGATTAGAGCCCAGCCTGGAAGCTGCTGTATTAAAGCTCATTACTCTGATTGTGGTACTCCATCTTTTACAGAGACAACTTTAGAAAACTGTATTTGTTCATACAACAGCCACCAAACTCCTCAAACAAGGCTGACATCTAGTGTGCTGCCTATATCTATGTATATTGTGAGACAGCTTAAGAACAAGAAATCTCTAATGAAAACACCAGACTTAAGTTACAGACTTAGGCTGTAACTACATATCTTAGTTACAGACTAAGTCTGTAGCTACTCATCTCTCCTAGTCTTTCTAAGCCTATTTCCTACCAGGAAAATGAGCCTCACATTAAGTATCATTTTATGCAGAAAGCTAATAGATCTTTCCTAGTCACTCAGTCAAATTCAATGTGGTAATTACTTCTTATTTCACAAATGGGAATGACAGAGCAATAAAATGTGTACACCCAGCAGCAGACATTAAATGCAGGTTAGGTTTTTTTTTTCCACTGTAATGACACTGCATGTTAAAAGAATTGAAAGAAGTGAAAGGAAACACTGCACAGCCGGTAAAAAACAAAGAAGCTGCATCTCAGGCCATCCCAAACAATGACTTTATTTTTTGTGGAACATCACCATGGCAGCCCCCATGGCAGCATCAACATCCTTCCCGTAAACCACAGGGAACGGAAAAACCCTTTCCACTTCTTGCCTCAGCACCTCGTTCCTGGCAAGGGCACTGCCGCTCCCCAGAACCCTCCTCACTCCAGTCTCCATCAGGCACTGCACAGGTAGCATGGAACAGAGGTTTTCAATGATGCCACGGCACAGAGCTCTGGTTACATGACCCAGAGAGAGGTCAGAGACAGCAATATTGCTCACTGATGCCAACTGCTCAGGAACGTGTCTCTCTCCAAATATGGTTGGGTGGATCAAGAGTTTGCTGTTGGTTTGGGCCAAGGCTGCTTTGATTATCTTTGTATAGATGGCAGACTCCTGGACCTGAAGTCCTGCAGATGGGAAATACCATGTTACTCATCTGAAGAGATCCAGTGTATCTTACATGTGGAAACTTAAAGCGGACAATCCACCCTTCAGCAAAATAGGTCTATCTTCTTCTGTGCCCCAGAAGTCATTGTTTTTCCAGGTTTATGAATCACAGTTCTCCCATCCAATTTTATCTAGAACCTGCATTACTTAAAATCCTTTTCAGGTTACAGAAACTGCCTTTCCTGACAACACAGCTATTCATCTTTGGCTATACTGTCCTAAGTTACAAAAAACAACACCTTTAAACACATTAACAGCAGATTTCAGCTTCAGTGGCTGAATTGCACACGAATGCAAAGTTCACTTCAAGTACTCACTGCAAGAATAATTTCAGAGCTTATTTCTGTATTGCAAAACCCAAGAAATGGTTAAAAAAACCCGTGAAGACCACATTTAAAGCACTTGGAAGATATTACATGAGTTTAAGTCTTAAAATCCATTAGAGTGCTGCAAAATATGAAGCAAAAGGCAACTGATCTAATCAAGGGACTCTTCCGGACTGCATTCATACATAATTAGAAGGCTGTCCTCAAATTCACTGGCTTTTACTTTTGAAAATCAACTTGCAAAAAATAATCCTCTTGTGTTCTTAAGACAAAAGAAAACCCAAAACCTAGGGGCAATGTGAATGTGGAGTCCAAGCATGACAGTCCCAGCATGTTCCTAAGCTTCAGCAGGAAATTCCAGAGATCTGGGAAGCATGACCCAAGAGTTACATCCTCATTCCCTATGTGGCATGAAAAAACAGCTCAAGTCCTGTTCCTTTACCTTAGCTTCTTTTTACCCTGCTGATGAATCAAATTTTTAAGCTGTCCTTGAAATATAACCTTGAAAATACAGCTATCCTATATTTTACGCTACCCTTGAAATAGCTTACCTAGCTCTTCTGCCCACTGTGCCACCATGTCCACAAACATTGCTAGCACGTTGCCCCCATTAAGTGATGCTGCCACAGCCAAGTAGTCACCATTGAAGTAGGGAAAATAAGTAACAGCTGAGGAAGGATCTGGCATGTCTGGAGGCTGGAAGCCAGGAGGCATTGAGATACTCAGCTGAGCAGAGGTGCTGATATTAAGAACTAGAACATAAAAGCAAAAAATAAATCAGTGTTTTACTAGGCTACCCTGAAGGAGGACAATGAGAAAACCAAGCAAGATACCAAAATGATCATACCTGCGTCAGTTCTCTCAGTCAGACAGGAATACACAGAGCACTGAAAATCCCCCAGAGCAATTCCTACTTTTGCTCCTTTGGGGATTCCATGCCATGCACTGACTGTCCTGCCTGCAATACTGCCAGGGTCTCCCACCTCCGGAAGCAAGTGAATGGGAAAGCCAGATTCTTTCAATCTGCAATCAGAACAATATTATTGCAGGAAAGCAGTATGGGAATGTGTAGCATGACTACAAAGGCCTCTTTGAGGTCACAGATGAACCCAGACATGCATTTGTGCCTGCTGGATTTATGGATGCTTTCACCTATTTGGAAAGCTTTGTCTTGGACAGGGGCAGCATTCCAGTTCAATGAGCTGGATAAACCAGAATCATCTAGAAGAATAAATAGCTTTCCTTTATATGCACCTTGATTACCTGAGATTATAGAGCAGTACATGTTCAGCAAGTTTACCCTAGTGGTGTCATATGGACAAGCAATTCCAGGGCAAAGGGACAATCACAAAACCAGAAAAAAAATGCAACTTCACAGAACTTTAAGATGTCATGCAGTTAGTGGTTCAAAACCAAACCACAAAGAGTTAAGTCCAACAAACTCCTTACATAAGATACTCTATATTGCTACAGCAATAACACCAAATTAACAACAGCTCAGTAGGCCAAATGAAGTTTCTGTCACTCTTTCATACCTTCATGAGCAGATCTTTTCACCTTGGAGTCCTGGCCTAACCTAAGCTCTGAATTATATAAGGCCTTAGCACTCAGCCCTGAAAGAGCAAATCATTAAAATAAGTAAGTAAATTCTTGAAAGAGCAAATCCTTAAAATAAATAAGTGAATAAATAAACTGATTCCCTATAAAACTTGCTGAAGATCTGTAACTCTTAGGTATTACCACAAGTAAGTCCTAGTAGTTACGAAGGAGCTCAGCTGAATGAACTACAGAACTGTCTTTTATCATCACAACATCTTGGCTGCAGCATGCACTTGCCCACCCCATCCCATCACAGAAAGGAAGAGAGCAGTTTGGTATATGAGGCCTCACTGATGAGTCTCTCAACTCTGCTCTCTTAGGTATTTCTAAAATACCATGCCAGATTTTATATAATTTAGACATATGCACCTTACAGAACAAACTCTCAATAGTTCTTCAGTACAGGCCACACATACATAGAAGTAACTTTCAATCACTTTTTATCTGTAGCACTCTCATACTTAGGGCCCAGAGATGTTCACATTGCCCATCACAAGCAATATACAAAACCCATTCAATGCCCTTAGCACTTACATATCAGTATTCCAGCTTTTATTTCTGGAATTAAAATATCCCCAGCTGGCAGCATTCTGGACAGACATGAGTGGCTTCCTCAGGTCACACAACATGGCAACCACGTAGTCATGGATAGTGCCAGCTGCATCGTAAGACTTCAGAAAACCTGGACTTTTAAACAAAACACATTAAAACCAATGAGGGGCACTTTAAGGCAGAGGGAGCAAGATTACTTCCATTGCTACAAGAAGCTTTAGACAAGTGTGGGCCCATCTAAAAATGTAACAGCCATCTCAGTGATAAGCCTGGACTTTGTTGTTTTGGTTTGGTTTTGTAAGTGGAATTTGCTTTCCAAGCTGTTACTGCAGCAGCAATAATTACCTACTGTTGGAAGATGGAGAGACAAAGGCTTTAAGGAACGAGTTGTCCAGGTTCAAAAGCACACCACTGCAACAGTTACCAGGAAGGCGGTAATTGTTTGCACAAAAAAATGATCCTGGAGGTCATTTGTTGATGTGTTTGTTGATCCTGGAGCATTTGAGAAAAGTATGTAAATTCCTGCAGTTGTTCTAGGATCCACAAATTGTATGAATGGAAACATACCAATGGTTAAATAAAACAGGAACAAAGCAAAGCAGCTGAACTCAAACAGCTCTAAAGCAAGATCACGCCATGCTCCATGTATTTGCTGGACACACACTGTAAGAAACCAAGATCTAGTAAGTTTTTGCCCATTTATTGAACCTGAACTCATTGCAGAGAAAGACTTTGGCTCTTTGAAAAACAGCATACTGCAGACATAACTGAGGAACAAATCTTGCTGATGCCAAGTCATAAGTGAAAAATTATATCCTCTGCAAACACACCACAGAAAAGCAGACCATTTTTAACACCTCATAAGGATCTCAGTGCCTAAGGAAGGAAGGAACTGAAATTAATTTAAAGAATATTTGTTTTAGCATCTGGCAGCAAGCAGACAAAGCAACTCAATTACTGTTTTAGGCATGCTTGCATTTTTCACAGTCTGCACAAGGCAAAATTATAATGTTCAAACTGCATTAGCAGAGCTCCTCTGAGTGGTGGGACAGACTAGAATGATTCTACAGTTCTTTAAGGCTTTTGTTACTATATGGTCAAAAGCTTTTCTTTTTATTACAGAGATCTGCAATATTTTTATGAGGTCAGAGAATCTTGTGCTTAGTGGCATACAGTTTATATTGAATACTGCCATTTTAAATATTCTTTGAATACTTATTTAATATTATGATTAAAGAGAAACACAGCCACTCAGCTTATAGTGGCACTAACATGCTACAGGAATACTAATTGTCACAGAAATTCAAGATGAGAAACTGCCAGTCAACCACCTAATAAGGAAATGCTTTCGAGAAACAATGTACCTCTTCTTTAAATACCAGTAGACTGTGGCACATCCAAATCCTGTAGCCAAGCTGATATGCGACTGTGGCAGAGGAAGAGAAGAGAGGAAGGTAGGACTGCAGCGGGTGTCTTGCCAAGTAACCAGATGACTGACTTCCTCTGGCTCAAAGGTAGGTCCTGGGCCACTCTCTGTCCACTTGCAACCTGAAATACACAGTTTCTGAGAAGTCCAGCAACCCCCTGCAGCATAGTCCACCTGGCACTCCTCATTTCTCGCCACTTTTGATGATTTGTCAAATATATTGGAAAAAGAGCAGAAACATAGCCTGTAGTGACTGTAATCAAATTAATTAGTCATGGTTTTCAGCCCTAGATAACATCATAATGGCAGTCATCCTCTGCTAAAACAGAGGTTGGTATCCAAAGGCCTTCATTCTCTAACAAGCACTCCTAGTGCCTACAGGAACAAGCAATTTGCACCCTTAGATATTAATGATGCAACTTAAATATCAGGTTATCCAAAAAACAACCAACCAATCAACCCTTCAGTTCTGGTATGGGAGGTA